GGGAGTATATATGAGCCAGTTCTCCATAACACTATGTGCTACCAGACAAGTCAGAAGTTGCTGCGTTAATGGAAACCCGAGGCAGGGTGGTTGGGAGCACTCCTCTGCAAGGGTTCAAACTCTTCACTTACCTTCCAGTCTTCAGAGCACTCTTTTGTTACTCCTATGGTATCATCCAACCTCACAACACCAATACTTTTCTTCAGATTTTTCATGCAGCCTCGGAAAGCAGGTGTAGAAATGTTAAACCTGATTTAGGGTATAAGAAAGGAAGAGATGTACAAGAACAGGTTTGCCTGAGAACTGGAGCTGAAATGCTCTGCACTGTCTGCACTTCTCACCCATAAACAGGCACGTATGTCATGGTTATCTGTTCTCATGGGATTTCTATAATGCTACTTATTTTGTGATGCTGGGAAAATCTACTTCCTTCCCATGTGATTCTGCATTCCCAGCCTTAAAAATTCTCAGCCAGTGTCCTCAGAAGGTCTAGAGACATAAAAGATGTACAATAGCTAGGACTGCTCCTTCCTCCCGTTCTGGAGTCAGGTGCATGGCGAACAGGAAGTATATTTACAAGTTAATATACTATAAATATTACATAAATAGATATTAATAATTTATTAGAGCTAGGAATGCTCTAGAAAACTTTTTGCTTTTTTTTTGTAGTTCACTTTTACGTTAGTCAATGTAAACTCAGAAGAAACAAACACTTTTCAGTGCCAACCCAATTAGGGAAATTGTGGCTTGGTATTAATCAGTGCCAGGCTGGAACAATGGGCAGCATTGTCTGGCCTGGCCCCCTGCTTCCTATCCACTACCTCCCGTGTGACCTGGACAAGAGGTCACTGAGAGGATTACACAAGTTAATGCACAGCAACTGCTTGGAGCTGTGTATGGCATGTGGTCATGAGTGTTCAGGAGGTGTTTCTGAAAGGCAAGAGAGGGCTGCCCTGGAGTTCTCCCGGCTCAAGTCCTTTGCCTGCTGCTGGTACGGGCAACTTCACTATTCTGTGCCTCTGCTTCCTCATTTATACATTGGGAATATGTGAGTCTGCCTCCTAGGCTTGTCATGAGTCTCAGTGAGTGGATATGTGTAGCACACCCAAATGGCGCCTGGCACAGAGCAAGAGCTCCAGGCGCGATGGCAGGGCTGGCAGCTGTCCCCACGCTGTGACAGTGAAAGCAATTTCCACAGCAGCTCTGCCTGCGTGGCTGCCTTGGTATTTCCTCTTTGTACTTCTGTCTGCAGCTAACTTCACGTAAACCATTAACACACAAGAGGTGACTGGAGTCCAGGCAAATATTTGTGTTTCTTAAACAAATGATGTATTAAGAAAAATACAAAGCTGATTACATTATAAACCTAAGGCGGTTCACTTTTCTAAATGGAAAGGTGTCTGCACTCATTTTTATTCAATTCATTATAAACAGATGAGCTACATGTAATATGCATGAAATTAAATTTCATTAAAAGGGGAAGGTAAAAACAAAACCTCTTTGATATTACAGCATGAGTTTAATTATTTTATGAAGATGGCCTTTTGCCTCAGAAGAGGGACAAAGTTCGTATTAATTCCAAGAGCTTATCTATTAAACATAATTTTAATCCATTCTCTGCTGAGTTTCAACATGTTTTAGACCCACCAACATCCCCTGATGCCCTTTTTTCCACAAAATATTGGTCAAAGGAAGAAGAAAGTGGCAGCAAACACAGACAGTTGGCAGGGAGCACCTATTTTGTATAAGGCACTATTATTCTATCCTCACAATAACCTTTTTTTTTAAAATTAAAATTAAAATTTATTTTTATTTTGTTATCATTAATCTACAATTACATGCAGAACATTATGTTTACTATGCTCCCCCCTTCACCAAGTCCCCCCCACATACCCCATTACAGTCACTGTCCTTTAGCATAGTAAGATGCTGTAGAATCACTGCTTGTCTTCTCTGTGTTGTATGGCCCTCCCCATGCCCCCCCCACATTATACATGCTAATCGTAATGCCCCCTTTCTTTTTCCCTTTTGAGGCAGATATTTTCCTACCTATCATCTACTGAGCACTAACTACATGTGAGGCACTGTGCTAACACTTTACTTGCTTTGAATCCTCCCAACCATACTGGGAGACTGTAGATACCATGGCCCTGCTGCAGACATAGCAATGAGGCTTGGGGAGGCTAAGGAACTTGCTCAGGGCCATGCAGCAGGAAAGTGGCAGCGCTGGGATCTGCGTGGTCAGTGCATCCTGGAAGCCAGTGTGACTCAAAGCCCTTGTGCTTTACACTTACCCACAGCACGTGGAATAATCATGACTCTTTCCTACTGAACAATTTTACACAGCAGAGCTGTGAAAATGGAAGACTTATTTCTGTCATTTTTAGGAGCATTCTTGTTACCCTGGCTCATCTGAGGGCGTAGGATCCCATGGGTCCTCCACGATGTAGGGGCTGAACACTCTTGCCAGAGACCAATTCTAAATTCAGTGTTGGGTACTTAGTAAGTGTCCAACAGATCGCTGGCTGATTTATACTTTTTGAGTTATTTTCATTTTAATGTTTTATTGTGATACTCGGAGACACAAGGGTATAAATCCTCAGGAAACATTTCTTGGTGGCTTGAGACCCTCTGGCATTATTGAGGGAAGCAGATGGGATTAACAGATTGTGATTTTTGATGATAATCCTAAACCAGTCATTCCAAGATCTGGGTCCCCACTGCCAGAAGACGTACTACAGTGAAAGGGGAGAAAACAGAACACCCACAAAATCTCTTGATCAGAGCTGCTTCACGTAGAGATTACACTGGCTTGTTTCACTCCACATGAGGTTTAAGCACTTACAGTCTGTAAGGCCTTCTACTTATGCTCAGGGTCAGAACTCCTCCCTCTAAAAGACTACCTGTTTGCTCCTACAGAGCTCGGCTATGGGTCGGAGGTGGAACTCCACCTGCCTCCCAGCTACCCAAGTCAGAAGGGGTTTCAGGAGTCTCTGAAAAATCAAAGATGTCCCCAGAGGGATGAAGCAGGGCTAGAAACAGCTGATACTGCTTAGCATTTTACCTGGAGGGAGAAAAGGCCAGTGAGACTACCTTTTATTTCCTACATCTTCATGTTCTTATGATTTTCATAAAAATTCAAAGTATACACTTGCCCCCCAAAAAGGAAGCAGTCCCTTGTTAGGAAGACCCTGAGGCAGATTCCTAGGAAAACTCTACATGTAAATCTATCCGCATATGCATCCCTAGATGCATGCAGACATTTCTTTAATGGGTAGAGATGAGAAGGCAAAGAAAGGCTGAATGCTGACTCAACCTAGGGTCGCACCGCTGTTTGGTGGCTGAGCCAAGACTAGAAGCACTTCTTCTGGCTCTCCCCCACTACCCTTTCCTAGTAAACTGTGATTGTCTTGGCACCCACATCGCTGTCTGCTAATAACTGGATGGATAGCTTCATTATTGCCCCTGAGAATTCCCTACTGCTCTAGGTGAGCCCACCTGCCCCCATGACCTTCACTACCACCTGTACCCAAGCTTCCTTCACCCTTTCTTCAGCATGGACTGCTTTCCAGAGCGCCAGGCCTTAAGTCCAACTGTTTTAGGGCATCTACACCCAGCAGTCTCTCGGGCTCCTGGAACTCTGTGGGTCTCAGACTGAACTCACCCACATGCCCTCTGCTGGAGCTGTCCACCCGCCAAGTGCTGGACTGAAAATAAGCAGCCACTCTTGAGCACTCACTGTTCTCCTTAACTCCTGGGACCCAAGCATTCATGCCTTCGGAACATTCAGGGCCCTAAATATGTGGGGAATCCGCTCCCTCTTCCTCCTCTGAGCTGCCGTTTCCCTGGTCAGGACACCTTCATCTCTCTCCTCTGCTCCTCTTCCAGCCGCTCTGCCTGCCTCTGTCTTCCTTCTAATCTAACCTCTGCCCTGCACCACAGTGAGCTATGGAAAACCCACATTTGGTCCTATCCTTTCTCTGCTGATGTCCTCCCAATGTGCCTGAACATAACTTTCAAGATCCTATGTGTTCTGGCCCCTGCTGCCCCCCAGCCCATGCAGCATCTCCTGCTTCTTTGAATGTGACCCGCTTCACAGCATCTCCAGTTCTCTGAATGTTCACACTGCCTCTAGCTCTTGGCTGTTCACTACATTGGCTGCTAGCATCTTTTAGGTCTTAGCCAAAGGCCACTTCCTGATGCCCTCAACTGGGTCAGAACCCCTCCCCAGCATGCTCCACTCTCACGGCATCTGTCACACTCTACTGTCTCCCTTCTGCTGTACTCCAGGCTCTGCCCTGCTCACCATCGTCCACCCACCACACTGCCTGATGCCACTAGGCACTCAGTGAGCACCTGTGTCATGAACAAACAAAAGCCTCATATATGCACAATAGTGCTGACCACTTTAAGTAACTCTATCTTATTACATTTAATTGAAAATCAAGATAATTGATCATTCATAGCTAGCTATTTATTCATGGTTGAACTGCTATTTAATATCAGTGATATTAAATACTACTTCACCTCTTTGGCTCTCAATTTCTTCATCTGTAAAATTCAGAGGTTACTTTCCATGAACTGTAAGGCCTTTTGCACTTCAAAGAATCTAAAGACATTCACTCCCAAACTCTGTTAAAGTGCTGAGCTTTCTCACTTGCATTTTTGTCTTTGAGAGCAACCTTAACAACTTTAAAATAAATATCAGAGTCTCCTCGTAAGGATAGGCAGATGCCCAAATGTATAAGAATTCCTGAAGAAAGACTACCTTTGCATATCTTTTAAATCACATTTAGCACTCCTTCCAACTGATTTATAAATTAGAAAAAGAGTGAACCAGCCTCAGCTCTCAAGTAAAATCAATCATAATCAAACACTGTGGAGTGCTCTTAGCTTACTATGAGGCTGAAATAGCCCTTCCAGGGAATCTTCTTTCCACACATTATCTTCAGCTATTTAAAAGTCTTTTTTCGAAGATACAAATTAACAAAATGCAAATGGCATTTTTAAGTACATTCTCAAAGTGATGTTTTCTTTTTTTCCTCATTCAGAATATGCTTCACTTCCTTTCAAATTAATTTAATGCATTCATATATTCATCAATCCAAGAAATAGTTATGCACCTATACATGCTCAATAACATATAAGAGGTCAGGTAATACAGATCTGTCTTACATTCAACAGATGCTTCTAGAAGGCAGCAACCCCAGCTTTCAGCACCCAGTGCTGCTTTTCATCAGGTCATGGGACTGCCTGTGCTCTCTCTCTTTTTTTTTGAGAGAGCATCTCTCATATTTATTAATCATATGGTTGTTAACAATAATAAAATTCTGTATAGGGGACTCAATGCACAATCATTAATCAACCCCATGCCTAATTCTCAACTGTGTTCTCTTATACTACCTTTAAGGACCCCAGGGTCACCATCTCCATGCTTACTGGCAGCTTTGTCAACACCAACTATGTTCCCTGTGGCTTCTGTCTGCTGAAAAATGGCAGTAGGGTGATACACATGTACTTCATTCTCCCTCTTTTAATGGTCAGTCCCATTACCCAGCCTCTACAGCTTATTTTATTCTGTTGAATAACATGTTAATACTGAAAATTAACTTTCTGTGCTTGTTGCTGGAATTTAAAAAAATAATCAGTAGCAATCATTAATGACTAAGAGAGGTAATGCACTTCTTTTTTGAAAAACATCATACCATCTTACCTTTCCCTGATTGAAATTGGAATTCCTCCCAGATAGTATGTACTGAAGTTAAATATTTCACCTTCAACTTCACTTTGAGAAATCGCATTTATCCTTATAAGGTTTTGGGATCTTAAAATTCGGATCCAAATCTGAAATAAATGAGAGATGAGTCAGCCAGCAATAGGAGATAAAAGAATCGTATTTACAGTGGTTCAGAGCTATTAACGCTTGTGTCTACCATCAGATTCATTTATATATAAGATAGGAAGACTGAGCAGTAACACTTTTTCATAAAAATATCATATTAAAATACTTTAAAAGAAAAGTTTGCATTTGAAATTAATCATGTTTTTAGATATGCCAAATATGTATTATATATTTTATGCCCAAATGTTCAAATTTTAAAAGGATGTGTCCCTCAGTTAATAACTATGAGTTCATCTGGTAACAGACAAGAGGATATACCGTATGATCTTCCCCATTGTTTATGACGTTTCCAATTCTTTTTTCTTTTGGTGGCTCTGAATTCAGTTTGTATTGTAGCAGAAGACGGCCATCTTCTATATTCAGAGATATGAAGCGATCCTAGAACATGGAAACCAGGTAGATTACTAGAATATTCTACTGAAGAAGATCCAGATTAGTAGAACTCAAGGTACTCTCAATTTACAAAGAGTGTCCACCTTCAGCTGCCTTCTTAGTTAAAAGGGACAGTGGTGCTGTAACATCCAATACCTGACATGGGTATGATGGTTAAATATTGTAAGCCATGTTAAAAATCATATGCAGTGGTTGACACACGGGAAGGACACAATAAATGCACCTATTATCATGATTTTGCTTCCTACAATCCATAACCAGCATGCAAAATGGAAACTGAAATGATACAGATCATTAATATCTTTTGAAAACATGAGTGCTACCTGTTGTAGGGAGCTATGACCTTGCTTAAACCCCAGACATTTTCCATCATCTATTTTCTGTCTATTCCCAGGTCTCAGCCTCCTTTGCTGGCCCATTTCCCTCTCCCTTCCATTTGAGTGTGGAGGCATCCTCGGAGGTCCTGCACCTTCCTCCCTCCTGCCACACTCGTAGCCTTGTAATCACTGTCATTCCAGTGGCTCCAGTTCAGGCATGTGCTCATGAAACCCAAAAGCTTGTCTCTTCAGGGCCAGCTCAGTACATCTCATCACCTTCTGGGGTGAACCTCAAATTCAGAATATCCAAACAGAACTCATGATCTCCATGCCTCCCGCCTGCCGTGCCTGTCTGTCTCCCCTCACACTGCTCTCTCTCTGATTTTCTCTTGCCCACCACCAAAGTCTTCACTGAGCCAGCCACAAACTGACTAGGAGACATTCTTGAACCTTCCCTATTCAGTCAGATCTTCTCAATTCCCCCATTTCTTAACTCTCTCTCCATTTCATGCCACCTTGTCTCAGCTACTTCTTAGCCTGACTGCATAGCAATGGTGCGCTGTCCTCCTCATGTCCACTCTGTCCCCTCTTGAACCCATTTTCCCCTCTGCAGCCAGGGAAGTCTTTTGAAAATGTCTGTATGAGCATGTTACTCTTTTTCTCTCCCAAGATAAAGTCCAGCTACCTCACAGATGATATGAGTTCCTGGCCACCTCTTCAGCTTCGTTTCTCCATGCTCCCTCTGGTTCTCCATGCCCCAGCCACACTGGCCACTAGTCCATCCCTGAGTGCTCCCTGCCCCTTGTGTCCCCTCCAGGCTTCTCATGTCCCCCTGCCTGCATGGAGCATCCCCCCACCCTGGCCCTTTCAAACGCTGTCTTCTCCTTGCTCTCCAGGTCTCAGATTAGCATCCTTTGCTCAAGAACGTCTTTTCCCCAGACTTTTCCTCTATACCACTCATGGCCATTATGATGAATTAATTAAACAATTAACCAGCATATTTTGTTAATAATAAGTAAATATTTGTCTTCCCCTCTGGAATATAAGGTCCCTGAGGGCAGGAACTATGTCTATCTTGGTCATGACTGTATCCTCATGAGGGTGTAAGGCACACGTCCCCAAGAGAAAGATAAGCTGATACCCCTGCGAGGTAGGGCTTGAGGGTTTACTCACACAGTTCCCGAAGGACAAAAGGGCCTCTCTTGGAAGTCTACTAGCAGAGTCCTATCTACACGGAACATTGGGCCTTATCCGGATCCTAAACCTTGTCCCTGGGTGCCAGGTAGGGTTCATCGCATTCAGAAGCAACAGAATAACATCAACTCACTGAGAGTAAGGAGCTGTGCTCCTTAGCAGCAGCATTCTAGACCATTTCCTCTCAGCTGACTACTAATGGCATTTCATAACTTCTCTTCTAATATATGTAGTATTTCTGATTCTTAGTGTCCAAAATTTCAAAATGTAGTACATGGAAACCCTTGTTTTGGAAAACAGCTGGCTTGCTGTGGAGACACTGTGTGACTTCCCAGCTCCTGGTATTCTTCAGGCTGGTGGGGGGCCCTGCCAAACTGCCAGAACTGGTTCAGCCTTGGCATCTCCTGGAGGGTCCAGACCAACCCCAGAGAGGAGAGCTGAACCAGGCCTTTGCCCCCACTCTGCAGGTAGAAGGGTCTAGCAAAGTTCCAAGTTCCTTATCAGTCCCATGTTCTCAGAGATCCCAAGGAGTGATGGACAATTCCCCAGAAATGCTCTCTGTGGAGCAACTGCTCAAGGGCCTCTCCTCAGGAGCAGGCAACTCCAGGCCTATCTGCCAGCAGAGGGCGCTGACAATCTCTTGCAGAGCATCACTTTGGAATTGCCTCAACTGGTGGACTTAAGAACGATCTCCAATAACCTCAGCGGCTGGAAAACAGAGATACTTCCACGTCTTGGAAGTCGAGGGTCAGGCTGATAAAGAGGCAATCCCACACAGCTTGGCAGGAGTTGGACCAAAATGCAAACAGCAGAAAGTCAGACAGTCTAGCTCTCAGAGACCCTAGGAGGTCTTCACATGCTTTTAGACAGAATAAATAGTTTATGAGGCAAACAGTAGTTTTTCAAGAATAAAACTGAAAATGAGAATGAGGAGATTTCTCCCAGATTGCTGATTTTTGGCTCATTAAAACATACACGCCCACAGCCCAAGAAAGTAGAACTGCAGGGAACACTGCATGCTTCTTTTCAGATCTAGTTGGTTGTTTATAATAACCCAGTTACCCCAACGTGCTCAATAGACTGACCGTATTTGGATGTGTGTTAAAGATTACCTTATTTTCTGCAAAGAACAGCAAACCACTATCCATGGTGGTCTGAATCGTCTGTGCAAAAGTTGGCAAGGGAGCACCTGGTTGAGTTGGGATTCGAGCATAACCTGTACCTTCAAAATAATTTTTGTCGGACTCTTCCTTTCTCCTGTCAACAACAATTATCATAAATTGGAACCCTGCAGCCAAGGCCCACCACCCGAGTGTGCTTAGGAATACATACAAGATGCAGCTGTCTAAAGAGCAAAGCAAGGCATATACAACCCAGTTGTCATTATCTTGTTAAAGAAGAGGAAACATCTTTAAGACATTAAACCTGCCAGCTATTTCTCCTGGATATGCCCTTATATTCTGAGATTCAAACTCTAATTCATAAAAGATAATATTCAAGAGTCCCTTTTGCAATATCTACTTAGGAAGATGTGGCTTTTGTTGCTGAAGATATTGAAATATAAAAAAATTATTAACAAGATATAATTTTATTCTGAGGATAAATACTCAGTCTGTCCCATATCAGGATATCCCAAATCCTTTCAAATGTAAGTAAGGTTAGGAGCTCAAGGCAGCAATTCTCAAATAGGTCCAGGTATCAGAGTACCTAAAAAGTCATGGTGCACTTTGAGAACTGCTATTTTTTAAAAAATTTACAGTAAACACATAATTTTGTGCCTAAATCAGATACCATCCAATACTGAATATTTTGTGGAAGGAGGCATGAAAAATTGAAAGATTTATTTTTTCAAAATTGAGAAAACTCTTATCAATTTAATATTTTATACAAATGAGGAAAATACTACCATTATCAGATTTCAGGGATGAACTAGTGGTGTTCCATGCACACATAACTTAAGAACTATTGGCCCAAAGCTACCAGTGACATCAACAATGCCATCTCACTGTCCCATCTCTTCATTACATGTACTATAATTGCAAGTTATGAAAATTACAGTTACAGAGGCACTAGTTTCTGGTTTTATATACCTTCTACAAGGTTCCACTTCAGTTGTGTTCAGATTGAAAGCTTTTTTGAAGTTGTACAAGCTAAGCACGTTTTCATTGAGGTCATCTAATTCAATACAACCTTTGTATGGAGGGAATCTCAGCCTATTAGGAAGCTGAAAAAAATGAAACAGAAAAAATTGAACTAATTGAACAGAGGACAATGATCAGGTGGACCCAGAAACAGTATGATTCTATCACTGTTAATTGTCAGTATAGCATAGGGGTTAAGAATGTGGACCCTGGAATAGGTGCCCTGGCTTTGCTTTTTACCAGCTGTATGACCTTGAGCAAGTTATTAAAACCTTCCTGTCCCAGTTTCCTCATCTGTGAAACAGGGATGATAGTGATGTTTATTTAAGTTAATGTACTTAAGCCTAGATCATTTCACATAGGAAGTGCTCAGTGTTAGCTGTTATCACTGAATATGCCCTAAAAATATATAGTTAAATCCATCTTATATGTCATTAAAATAGAGGCATGAAGTTATTATACCAAATTAAAATTTAAATACTTTCACTCAGTGAAATAAACTTTATACTTACTCTAAAATCAGGTGGGTAACCTCCAACATAAAATACAGCATCTTCAGGATCCAGATTGAGGAGTGTGTTGCTGTTCCCACTATCCACGTCAAGGAGTTCAGGTGTTCCAGGCTTAGTGGATGTGGCTCTTTGGGTGTAATTAAGCTTTACAAACTGATAGATCCTGTTTAAAAATAAATTAGATAATAAAGCCATACAGTTGAAACAGAAATTGAAGAAATCAAAACCAAGATACTAAAAATGGGGTCAGCAAGCTGTGCACTGGAAGTTTGGTGAGTGTAGGTCAGATTAACAAGGAGCGGCAGGTGGTAGGTCCTGTACCTCTGAAATTTCACCCGGTCCATCACGGCCTCCAGAGTTTCACTCTCGGTCAAGTCCTGGTCCACTTGGAGTTCAGCCTCGTGCTTGCCCAAGTTGTAGATACACGTGAGCCGGCCGCCTATCACTGCCATGCCGATGTAGTCCCTGGAGGCCTGGAGACATAAAAGTCACCTCAGAGCACTCTGCACACTATATTCTGTCAACTCCCATCCCAAGAGAGAGCATTTCAAGTAACTATTGGGTTTTATATAGTAAGCCTTGGGCAGACAGAATAAGTGAGGTGCATCCTTGTACAGAATACAATAGACAGGATGCTGTATTGACAGTGTCTGAGCTGGCTTTGCTCATCGTTATGCACAAATATTTACCAAGCACCTGCCATTAAGATGATACAAATACACACTCAGGTCTCTGTTGGATTTTAGTCTGGTAAGGGAGATAAACTCTTTTTGTTCTCCCCGTACCACACAAAGGTCTGTGAACACTTGTGCATGCTTCTGTTATAACTTGTAGCACCCTAGATTATAATGGTCAGCTGCCTATGTATCTATCCTTCTTCCCTATTAGCAGATGAGCAGCTTAAGGTAGATGCAAATTTTTAAAAATTGTAGTAAAATATACAAAACACGTAAATTTACCATTTTAGCCATTTTAAGCATACATTAAATACATCCAAGAAACAAATTTTTGTTTATCATAAAAATGGGGTATGGCACCTAGTAGGTATGTGGTATAAATATGTTGAAGGAACAAAATAAAGTGCATTTTGTCACAATACAAAGCAGAGTCATGCCATAGGAAGCTACAAATAAAGCACCGACATCTTGAGGCGTGACAGAATGACTGACTAGTTGATTTTAGGAATCTTTAAATATGATGTCCACTGGGGACAGCCAACCATTTCCTAATGGGCCAGAATTTTTGAGAACTTTATTTCAGACATTTCTTTTCTAACCATTGTATCCTAGCCCAGCAATTACCTGTTCCTCTGACACTGATATCAAAGAAATGCATTTTATGAGGAGGGATTAAAAGCTAAAATAAACTGTCCAAAATGCCTGTAACAGTACTGCTTTAAAGAATTAGAATTTTAAGGAGACGGGGCAACTGCATTTCTTATTAATTAGGCAGGAGAGGCTTCATTTGGCTCCAGTCCTCATCTACTGATGGTCCCCACCGCACAGATCTGAGGAAGGGTCTGTGGTGGGGCTTTCTGAGCAAGAGGACCGAGTCACAATTCCATGAGGAAGAACTACTGTCGATTGCCGTGATGCCCTGGGAGGTTGCCCTGGTTGTGCGGGGAGGAGTGCCGACCTTTAACCCTAGTGTGTAGGTGCTCATGTGTACACACAGGAGGCCCACTTACTGAGCCCACTGGGCGGGGCCTCCACGTCCTCCCGCAGGTAGCCATCTGCAGTTGGCGAGAGGCCCCGCAAGGGCCACCACTGTGGGACTTTGTTGATGTGTTGGTGGGATTTCTTCCTGCTGCGCCAGTGACATAGTGTGTCATGCATCTTGAAAACCAAATTCTGTTTTAAAAGCAAGGGAAATGTGAAAGAAATACTTACATCTTTATTTCCAAGGTACATTACAAACATATTGCTAGTTCCTCTGTTTTCTGCTGTGTTAGGCCTTTGGAGAAACAAAGAAATAGACGTGTATCCTTTCAAGTCTTCCAGGTCATTTGGCAGCCGGACTTCAACTCCAGATTTACCGTTGAACCTCATGGGGATGGCAGCCTGCGAGGGTTAGACCCCTGGTGAGCAAAGCGCGGTCCTCGGAATATAGCTTGTGGTTTTGCACCTACTCGCTCCAAGCACACATCAGCCTTTCCCAAGTTGTTACGATAAGCAGCAAAGGAGTGTGAATGTCCCCTAGACCTGGATTACATACTCGGGACGCTGTGCTGGGAACAGGGTAAATCGTTCACGTTCTTCCTGTTTATAAGCCAGGAGTCTTTGAGAAGCACAGTTAATTCTCTCTGCCAGAATAATAATCATTAATATAATAATCCCGACCCTAGCAGGTTTTTGTGCAGATAAGCTAACATGTATAGAAGCATTTATAGTGCCTGGCATGTAGTAAATACATAATACATCAAAAATATTTTTTTAAATGAACCCTTTAAGGAAATTGTTCTCCATTAATGTATTACATGTTATGGTTGCATTTATTAAAGGCATTGAGTCCCTAAACATGAGTGCAACATGGCTCTCTAAAATAGCTGGCTTCTTAAACTTGGTGGTGAAGGAGTTTTTTCCCTTTAATCTGCCCTGGACCAATACTTCCGCAAGATATATTAAAAATTAAATCATCAGAAAAATGAAATAAAGAAGGTATGCAAAATACATGCCTACCGATCCCATGCTTGGATGTTGAGGCAATTCAAATTATTAAGTTTCTAGAATTTACTCTCCAGTTGCATATATACATACACACATATATAATGGACCAGTAACAAAACTTCTCTGACTAATTAGTGCAGGTCTGTAGATCTGCATTAAAACACAGAAAATAAATATTCTCTAACAATCTAAAGAGTAACACTCCTGGGATGATGCTTACACCAGCACTACATTTTATCTATCAACCACTGAAATATTTGTGCTGCACCTCATGTGTGTAAAGCATTATGTGGGGGCTGGGGGCTTAGTACTGTGCGAGCTACAGTCTATCCACTGTGCTTTTGGCTTGGCACCCCTCACCCCCACTCACGGCTCATTTATGCCTATTTCTTCTAGTAGATCCAACCACACCCTGAGTCCTTTGTGGCATGCTAGTTTTGTCACTTGGAAAACTCCTATTCATGCTTCAAAATTTTTTAAGTGAGAAAATATTTCATGTATACAAAAAAAGGATGCAGAATATGCTGGTATATGCATCATCATCTTAAGAAATCAAACATTACTGCTATAACTGATCCCACTTTGTTCCCCTCCCTTTCTCCCTTCTCAGAGGTCACCACCACCCTGGATGTGGAGTCCCACACAGTGTTCCATGCATGTTTTAACATTTCTGCTAAATATGCATCCATCTATGAACTGTAACTAGTCTTATTTCTTATGTTTAAATATTTGTATAGAAGTGGTATCTTTATACATCCTTCTACAACTCACTTTCCTTGCCTCACTCTGGTTTTAGGTTTATCCATGTGACATGCCCAGCTCCAGCTCATTCACATGTCTCATTGTGTGGTCTTTCAGTGTATAAATTTGTCATAGTTTTATCCATCTCCTGTTGATGGACATTTTGCTCTTTTCCAATTATCTTTTGTGATTATAAGCTGTTTCGTGTTGAATGTTCTAATACATGTCTTTTAGTGCTATTTTCAGCCTCTCCAAGTAGAAACAAGTCTTTGCAAGACCTGTATGATACCCCTTTCGCAGCTTCTTAGTGTCATCTTAGAGCAACTGCATCCAAGACTTTGCTCAATAATCTCCATGTGTTTAAACACCCAGGAGCGTGCCACGCAAGCCACACTCTCAAAAGCGCTTGCTTTTTACTTTGTGTTTTATGACTTTCCACTTAAATGGTACCATTAGCCAGGACCTGGTCCACATTAGCTCACTGAACCTCACAGTCTCATGAGGTCTGGGCTATTCTTTACCCTGCTTTACAGATGATGAAGAAACTGAGGCAGAGGGAGGCGAAGTGGCTAGTCCAAGGTGTCATAGATCATGAGCAGCAGAGCTAGGATCAAAACGTAGGCAGTCTGGCTTGGTCAACCAGCTCTTAACCACTGTGCTATTATCCATTTCAAATTTTGTTGAATAAATTAGTGAATGATAATAGAAGGGCAAAAGCTAGAAACACATTTTTTTTTCCTGGTCATTTAACTGTTATAAAGTATGTATGGTTGTGAAGAAGGTAGTGTCTGCCAGACTGTGCCTTATGCTCTTTGTTTTCCTGCTACAGGTCTTTTGCTGGGAGCATTTCACTTTCCTAGAAGAAAGGACAGATTTTGAGGCCCAAAAGAAACAACATTAAAAATGTTCAGCCTACAGATCAACTGGCATGACTCCAGGGCAGTGATATTCTCACCTGGCTTTCTAATCCTGTCTCCAAATATCTCACAGTGGGGGATGGAGGTGGGTGTTGTTAAAAAAATACAAGCTATTTTATTATTATTATTTTAGGACAAAAACACTTGGTGAGAGAGAGTCATCAGGAATTCAAGTACATACAGCTGTTAGGTTAGAAAGCTAAAGGTAGATGGATCCGTGCTCCAGGGGTGGGAAACTGCTGTAACCCTGTGTTCAGACCACTGTCTATGTGGGTAGGAGCCATTCCTCTCCCTCAATAAGGTGGAGTCTACAACTTTCAAGTTACAGTAAGAAAGCAGGTTCTGTGCAGTACCGTATCAGTACATTCTAGTCACAAAACCCTTACTTGAATATGCACAACACTCTGCCAGCTGGGGACTGGAGGACAAGTTTTCCTCCTGCCTGCATCAACTCAGTGGGAAGGAAACCGCTCAGGTCCCTGGCATACAAGGTCATGTAGGGGATGAAGGTGATGTGTACTTTTGCAGGACAAGAGCAGGAAATCCATGTTCCCATTTCAAGCAACCAAAGAATAGGGCAAGAAAATCAGCCAGTTCTTGATTGAATAAATGCTTTTCCTTTCTTAATGAATGGCATAATATCTCCAAGAATGGGCCTTTGGTGCCCGGCCATGTTGGGACACACCTACCTTATTTGCAGCATCTCTGGCCTGCTGAATCAGTTCTCGTATGCGGTCCACATTGTCAGAGATGTTGCCCAGTGGCAACAGCTGTTGGTTGATACTTTCAATCTTGCTCAGAAGATCAGGAAGTTTGTTGGTTAATTTCTTTACTGTTGGTAAGATTACAAAATGGAAATTTATAATTGTGAGTTGAGGAAAGGTTAAATATACATGTACTCATTGACAATATTTGTCAAGTGGTATGTTTGGGTCCCAAATGTTGGACAGAATAACCCAGAATCAGGCAATACCTTTTCCAAATACATTATGGATTTTATTCTGCAATCCAGATATCAAATCATCTTTCTTGATCACTATAGAAAAAAATAAATCTTGGCTTTTTGATCCTTAGCATCAACCATAATACAATATCTCATGATACAGGTACCTGTAATTCTACTCTACAGAAGGGAAATTTTATAGTAATGTTGGTGGGTTAAAAAAAAAATTGCACCTGGTCCTTCTAACTTAATAGAATACCCACACTCTTTGAAGGTATTATGTGAAACTGTTTTCTAATGTACCATTTTCTAAGATTGGACTTAAGGAGGGAAGAATTGAAACTGGCCAAAGCACACAGCAATGGAAGAAACAGGTGTCAGGTCCTGGCTTAAGGATGCCCAGTACCTGACTTATCCGCATCAGTGAGAGCTTTGCTGAAGTCTTCATTCCGTGTGTGCCCATAGGTCTCCTTAATTCTTCCCAGATCTGTCTGAATAGGGTTGAGTCCCTTCAGAACCTCATCTGTGATGTCGTTGGCTTTTTTTACCATGCTTTTTGCAACACCGATCATACCACTGATGTCATCTAGTGCACACAAACAGGGAGGTGTGAGTATCTATGTTCCACGAAAGAAGCCAAGTGCAGTGGCTTGTGGAGATACTGACCTCTCTGAATCCCACGAAGATCCTCGCGGATGGTAGTGATATTGGTGTCTATCAGCCCTTTCTGAACTGTCATAATTTTCAGAGTTTGCTGTAGGTTGTTTAGAGCCGGACTGATTTCTAAAGTGGGGGAAAAAGAAATCAAGAGGCAATTACCCTGTGAATATGATTCTCCATTGGTATTGGTGGTCCCAGACATAGCATGTGCCTACCAAGCACTGAGCAGACCTGCATCTTAGGGGTCATGTGGGGGATGCCCACTGCAGGTGCCTGGACCCCCAGCTCCAGGGTCCTCCAGGAACAGAGGCCAGGAGCACAGGAGTGGTATCAGGCTCCTGGTAAATGCACATAAAGCAAAGGGGAGGCTTACTACCTCTGGGGGCCTTAACTCCCACTCTGCTCAGGGCAAAAGTCTGCTCAGTGGAGGAAAGGAATGTGTGTGTCTGTGCCTTGCACTGCTGTGTCCCAGGCCATGCTCCCATGGCTGGCACTAGCTGGCACGTCATATTAGTACATACTTCTTGAATGAATGAGTGAATAAACAAATGAAAAAATGATGCAGAAAGGATGCCTCTTTAGTCAGAGTGTAAGACAGGAGTGTTGTTGAGAGAGCCTCATCCAGGCAAACACACTCATAAAGTAGGTGTTGTTTGTTTCTGTTCATTTCCAAACAGACACCTTTAAGGAAATTTAGTAAAAGGAACAGAGTTCATAAGACATCCCGAGCTGGTAAGACTGGCGTCACAGATAACGACTTGTGAATGCTTTAAAACCAAGTTGACATGTGGCTTAAATTATGATTCCAGGACTTGCTGAAATAACAAGGCCTGCAGATACCCTATAATCTATCTTATAGATGGAATCTAAAAAAAAAATGCTCACAGATACAGAGAACAGATTGGTGGTTGTCAGAGGTAAGGGTGGAGGGTGGGAGAAAAGGGTGAAGGGAGTCAAAAGGTGAAAAGAAATAGAAACATGAGAAGAAAGGAAGGAAGGGAGGAAGAAAACTGGTAGGGAACAAAAGGAAAAAATAACAGTATAGTTAGCATCTTAACCCTCTTTAAAACACTGATCTCAACCACTTAGTGCAAATTTTGTAAAAAAAGAGCAGATGTCATATTAGGAAGTTTTAATTCTTGAACTTTGCTTGGCAAAGTATTGCTACTGACACATTTTTTTTTTGTATTTTGTTTTTCATACATTTAATTTCTTTTAATGAAAAAAAAATTATTTACTGGTAGAAGGCATCTAATTACTCTGAAAGGACTAAGAACTTGAGTGCTGCAGTCAGATGCCTGCTTGGCCATGAAAGACTACGACAGAGAAGAGAAAATCAAGAGAGAGCATTTTCAGAACACAAAGATTTGGTAAGACCGACACAGTTTGACTCTTTTTAAAAAAGAAATAAAGGGGTGGGAAAATTTCAAAGATAAAATTTATATTTAAAAAACTCTCAGGCTTCACAGCAGTAGTGGTTTCTGGTACTTTTTGTTACTAAGATTTCAGGACTTAAGAAATTTTCAGCAATTGCTCTAACGACCTGAAAGTAATTATTTTGGCCTTAAATGAGAAACTTACACTGCACAGACCTCTATGCTATGGGGGTTCCTGATACCACAGTCACAAGTGGATTAAATTAAATAGCCCCCTGAAAAACAGGCCTAATAGGCCATCGCCCTCAAGACTGATGTATAGTCACAAAGCTCTAGTTCATTTTAGTATGTTAGACTATTGGGTGGAAATATCAGATCTATAAGCCAAACTGTGATCTACAAAGTATCATCTACATCCAGATTCAAGAAGAGCGCTTGCATCCAGGGCTGCTTCTCCTCATCTCAGGTCATTTTTGAACCTTTGACTATCCCAGCCCTCTCCCACCCCCAGTACCTTGCTGTAGCTTCTTCTGTGTTAGCTTGGCTTCATTTAACAGTTTATCACTGTTGGAATTCAGGGTTTTAGCTTTTCTTGGGAGATCTTCCTTTATCACGTTCTGAAAGCAAAGTGTTTACCAGCTGTAAGCATTTGGTGTTACCTTAGGAGGTATGGAATAAGATCTCTCATTCTATACTAAAGCTCTTACCTCCAATCTTTAAAGGATGCAGTTTGAAGGTAAAGAGGAATCTAAAAAGACTGTTCCTTAAAAGATACAGTTATCTTTTCAGGTAAGCTATCTTTTAATGACAAGGTAGACATTTGTGGCTTGGGGAGGTGGGCCCATCTCTGGGAACATACCCACAAATTATGCGACACCTGCTCTTTTTCTCAGTGTGACTTGCACAATGCCCTCTGCAATGACTGAACACAGATCTGAATTGCTTTCAGGTTTTTAATTTCAGAAAGATAAAAGTTTTCAAGCTTTCAAGCAAGCCTGTCCCCTAATTCTTTGGTATTACTATTTTGTTCTTTATTTTTAAATATAGGAATATTACATGGTACAGATACAGTTCCACAGGACTCCACAGATTGCCCAGGTGTAAGACAAATGACAAGAAATAAATGGCTATCAAACCGTGTACAAAATCTCTGTCTTCTTTGGTAAATGTTAATACAGAGTCATAGCCTATATGGCATACCTAGTAAGAAGCAGGGTATAATATTCATTTCGGTTCAAAGTTGATAATCAGGGTAATTTCTATCTGGTTTTACAAATAGTTTTAAGAACTGCTGTACATACATCAAACACTCAAATACATACAGAAATGACCCACATCTAGGGCAAGTTCAAGTGTATTCTACATAACAAGTTCCTACTTACAATAGTTCCCACAAAAAGAAAATAAGGAAATGAGTTTTCTCTGAGTGCATTTCCCGAAGGGGCCAGGGCAGGTGCCTACCTGGAGGGCAGACTCCGATGCACTGGTGGCCTTGCTGGCCGCGTCCTCAGCCACTTTGATGGCACTGAGGATGTTATCATAGGCAGTGGCAGCGTCCACAGCGCAGCGCACCAGCTCATCCCCACTGGCACTCCTCTTGATCCTGGAAGACAGCACGGGGGCAGTGCTCCAGTATACGCCCTGTCTGTACTGAAGCCCCGAGCCTCCCCCACTCCTCTGGCAGGTGGAGACCGAGGGGGGCAGGCCCCACAGCTCTGTCCCAGGGGTGCGGCTGGCACTCAAGCTACTGGTGCAGGTTCAGAACTGGCCCTGGGTCCTGCCCTCCCCTGCTCCACACATATATTTTGGAGACCCAGCTCGCCCGGAGGCGGCCTTCATGCTACGCTCTGGCAGCAGACACATGCGGTTAGACTTCTGGGGCCACTCACTCCTCCAGCTGCTTTGCCAGCTCTTGTAAAGACTGTGCGTGCTTTTCTGCCTCCACCACCAGGGATGCTCTGCTGGCAGACTTGGAGAGTTCTCTCACTTTGTCACTTAATTCGAGTCTTGCTTCACTTAAAGTGGCAGCTGATTTTTCATATTCCTATTTTTTTCCAAGCAAACAGAGACAGGGTCAGTGTAAGTAAGAACGATATATGGCATTTTCTTGAAATCTCTTATAAATGACATATTTCCAGGGGGCAAAAAGAAATTGTTTTCAAAGCTCATTTACTGCACCAATTAATCCTTGGTCACTACAAATAACAGCACTGGTAACATTCTCCCATGTTTTCCCGCCATTTGAAGTTTCCCTTATGGTGGCTACCCCCTTCAATACATTTTATAAAAGTGCACTGTTATCATTAATATAAAGTTGTACTAAACCCATACACTGTTTTTGTGATTTAGAAATAGTGATTAAGAAAGATATTTTCAAAATGCACATAGGGCTGCTAAGAAATGTTGTCCATACTTTTAGGACTGATAAAGTATGAGACAAAAGAAGACACGTCATTCACACCCCTCCTGCAAAGGCGCGCCACTGTTAACATTTGGGTACAGTTTCTTCCATCTAAAAGACAAACATTGGAGGAAAAAATAGGTTGGCCCATCTCAGTTTTCTTGCAATACAATTTAAATGTTTCCCCATTTTCCAGAAAACTCGCTCCATCTCTACCTTCTGGCTTTTCCGCATCAGCTGCAGCATGATGTTGATTTGCAATAAGGAAGAGTTGGCGGTGGCTAGATACTTGGTGAAATCACTCTGCAGGGAATTCATTTCTTTAACTTGTCTCTGGAGAGAATAAAAAGAGTGTCCACTTGAGCTACATGATGTTATCAGAAGGCACAGGCACTTTCAATGGACAACAGCTTATAAGTAATTTCAGAGTCACATTGTTTCCTTGAACTTAAAGACTGTCCAGGCAATGGCAAAGTGAGGGAACTTAGTTCCCTTTCCAGTGTGGGTGTGTTGTCATAGATTCTACAAACTATGTGCCAGGGAAACAGTACTCCTCACTGTTGAAGAAGGTTTTAACACTGGGGTCAACTCAGCCATATAGGTGAACAGATAATTAAGCTCTGGTTCATGGAGCAGAAGGAAGTAAGATTTTAAGGAAAGAAACAAGCACCAACCATCAGCAAGCACGCACAAGGTGCCAGCCCCCATGAGGCTGTGGGGGTCCTTCAAGGAGACAGCACATACAGCCTGAGAATGCCAGGCCAGCAGGCTGCCAAAGGTCAGAACCCACAAAACTGGATCCATCCCTTGGCATAACCAGTGATCTCCAATAGAGGTGTTCTGTCTAAAGAGGCTTTGGGGGTTAAGTATATTGCCATCTGCTAAGATATGATTTACAGGGGGCTGGGATGCTGAGCCCCCACACAGTCAAAAATCCACCTATAACTTTTGACTCCCCCGAAAATTAACTACTAATAGCCTTACTGGAAACATAAATAATTGATTAGTATCTATTATGAATGTTATATGTATTTTATACACATAACACATATTCATCTTACAAAAACGTAAGCTAGAGAAAAGAAACTTCTTTTTCCAATTGTCACAAATCTCTAAAAAACAATCTTCCAATATACTTACTGAAAAAATTCTGCATGTAAGAGGACCCACAAAGTTCAAGCCCGGGTTGCTCAATAGTCAACTGTATTTCTTTTTAATGAGCTTTTCTTTTTAGGGGTCAGTCCTATGCTATTCTGCTTTGATCTTACTGTCCTTTCATACCCCCCACATTTTTGTTGTTAGCACATAAGGTATACCACTGAAAATATATAGTATAGAATTGTGAGCCCTCAAATCTGTCACTACAGCTCCTACATGGGGCCTGTACTTTAACTTATTACTATAAAGCAGATAATGCCTTAAAATGCTTTTGCTGGTGACTATGATGTTTACACATCAGACACAAAAAATCAGCTTTTAAAACATATATTATATACTTGGTATCAAGTGTCATGATTTTAGTTTAATTTCTCATCTACTTGGAAGCATTATTCCCCTCGTGTTCTATCAGCCAGGGCAGTGGTAGAGCCATTGGTTCTGCTTTCTCTGTGATTTAAGTTCAGAATCCTTTCTACTGACTGAGGAACAGGACTGACTTTGGTTTGCATGTAATGCCTCATTCCTGTTTGATCAGCATTTGCTGGACAGACAGGTGCTTGGCTGTGCCACACTATTCATGAAGAAGATCCCTCCCTCTCATCCATGCTGTTAGCGTCAGCGAGCAGATCCCGACTGCAAGCGCACCTTGATGGATGCCAGATCCTTCTCATTCTCTCGGTTGAGGCCAGTGGCTTGCTTTGCCTGGGCAGTTGCCTGCTGGAGCGTGGTGTGCAGGTCACTGAGCTTGGCTCCGTATCTATTTAAGGAATCCCGTATTCTCTCAATGAGACCGTTGTTCTCCACCTGGTGATTTTCTAGCCAGCTCTTTACCCGATTGAGCACTGTAATATATCATTTTTTTTCACTTGAGAGATGAGTATATTGAAACTAAGTTATAAAGACTAGAGAAGAAATTGAATTGTTACACATTTCATGATTTCCTTGAATTTGTGAGGGACTGGGAAAGGAAGCTAACACTAATGCAGCCCCTGCTACATGCATTGCACATGTCACCTCATTTAACTTTCATGATAAACACATGAAAACGGCAATTATTCTCATGTTTCAGATAAGGAAATGGGTGGCCCAAGAAATCAGATGATTGACCTAAGATTGCATGATCAGTCAAGCTTGGGACTTGAACTGCAGAGTATAAAGCACATGCCCCTTCTGAGACAAACACTGTCCCTTGGAGTTAAAAGCCAAGACTAATAGTAAGAAAATGTTAAGAGGAAACTGCTTTGAGTATTAACCATTGATACCTAATTTTACTAGAGAAAATCAAAATTTGAGAAAATAGGCACCAAACTAATATTCTCACAGTTTTGAGCCAATGAGGATTTTTCTGTAATCAAAACCTTTTGATAGACTCAGTTAATTTGATAGACTCACTATAATTACTACACCCATTTCTTTGGTTTTTGTAATAGTAGTGTTAATATCAGTTTGTGATTCAAAACCCCAATGGTGATGAGGCAACCATGAAAAAATTATGTGAGAAAGTGGAGCTGAATGAAAAAATGAAAATTCAGCTAAAAAGGAAAAAAGAGGTATCAGTATCTAATATTTTAGGAAAAGACCTAATTTTTTTGGTATGATGGTAAGATGTTATATTCTACAACCTCTGGGTAACTTGGAGGGGCTATCCAACTTCACCACATGCTCTAAAAATAATATATGCTGATATGATGATATCCTCCTCCTGTAACTGGGACTCAATATTGAACTTTACACACTGTGTTCCAAACCAGTTAGAATGGATCAGAGGCAAGAATTTAGGGACATCCTTACAGAGCTGAGCCTCTGTTTTTTCAGCCTCTGCTTCTCTCAGGTGCTTTGCGAAGTTGAAGTTTCGCAATTCTCTCATCATGCGCTGTGCTTCCTCCAACTCTCTGGAAAAATCACGCGAATAGAGAGTGTTCCCTTCTCCATCCATCCCAGATATCTGCTTCAAGAGAACTAGAAATGAGAGGAAGGATAAAGGAAGGTAATGTGAGAGGTGAGACAGAGAACTCCTCCCCAAACCACATATAATATGAAAATATACTTGATACAACTAATCCTAAAAGAGCAACAGGAAAGAAGGCTGTGCCAGATTGCATATACCTGGAGAAAAGAGCAAACTTCATGAAACAGGGTAATGTACCAAAGCCTTGATCCAGCAGGACCCAAGCCTTTCCCCCACCCCAGCTCACTGGTGGGAGGAAGAGAAATGGAGTGACGAGTGGGTGGAAGCCTAGGACTGCTAAACTCCCAGCCCTGGAGATCTGCTTTGGGAACACAAACCTACACTGCATGGTGCTCTGGAGATTAGTGTGGTTGGAAAGCTAAGACAGGCAGAATACTTGGAGAGACTGAGATTCCAGCCATTTGTAGAAAACAGGGATCCACATCTGGCTGCTCTGGGACAAAAGAAAGGTGGGCAGTCGGAGAGACTTTCTAACAGTGAGAGGGCTGCTAAAAGGGCAAGGATTGCACAGAACTTGCTGCTCGGGAGAAAGGATAGGTGGGAAAAATTGTCTGAGCACTCTCTGCCCAACAGGTTGGGAACTTTCAGGAGCTTCAGGCACTCCATCCCCCTGGCTGACTACTCAGCTCTGAGGACTTCCACCGTGGCATGCAGCCTATTGCACCTTCCTCCTGGCTTGCTGGCACCAGTTTGCAAGCCGACAGTCCCTGCCCTGGTGTCAGACCAGCCAGAGGGAGGCCCTGCTGATGGCAGCTACAAACACAAAGCACAGAGGCTTCACATGTGTGCTCGGCCCACTGGTTCTGACAGTGGAGACAGGCACAGCAGCAGGGGAGCAGGAAACAGCTTTTTCCTCCCCCTAGGCACCAGCAGCACTCCCTTGCAACCCCCAACATCACTCCAAGGGCTAAGCAGATCCAAAGAGTAGAGCTTCTGGGCACTAGAGGGGGCCATATACAAATATGAAATGTCAAAAGAACCTGGTTCAAACCAATATCCAACAAACACCAGAAAAAGGGCCACATGAAACTGAACTCATCAATCTTCCTACAAGAGAGTTCAAAATAAAAACCATAAACATGCTCATGGAGGTACAGAAAGATATTCAAGAACTCAGAGATGAATTTAGGATGGAGATTCAATCATTGAGAAATTCCATATCTAAAATGAAACATACAATGGAGGGATTTAAAAGCAGATTAGATATAGTAGAAGAGACAGTAAATGGAAGAGAAATTAGAGAAGAGGAATGTAGAGAAGCTGAGGCAGAGAGAGAAAAAACAGATCTCTAGGAATGAAATAATATTGAGAGAACTGTGTGACCAATCCAAATGGAACAATATTCACATTATAGGGGTACCAAAAAAAGAAGAGAGAGAAAAAGGGATAGAAAGTGTCTTTGAGGAGGTAATTGCTGAAAACTTCCCCAATCTGGGGAAGGAGATAGTGTCTCAGGCCATGGAGATCCACAGATCTACCAACACAAGGGATGCAAGGAAGACAACACCAAGACATATAGTAATTAAAATGGCAAAGATCAAGGATAAGGACAGACTATTAAAAGCAGCCAGAGAGAGAGAAAAGATCACATACAAAGGAAAATACATCAGGTTATCATCAGACTTCTCAACAGAAACCTTACAGGCCAGAAGGGAATAGCATGATATATTTAATGCAATGAAGCAGAAGGGCGTCAAATCAAGAATACTCTAACCAGCAAGATTATCATTTAAATGTGAAGGAGGGATTAAACAATTTATAGATAAGCAAAACTGAGAGAATTTACCTTCCACAAACCACCTCTACAGTGCATTTTGGAGGGACTGCTATAGATGGAAGTAGTTCTAAGGCTAAATAGATGTCACCAGGGGAAATAAAACCACAGTAAAGAAAGTAGAACAATTAATTACTAAGCAGATAGAAAATCAAGTCAACTACCCCCCAAGTCAGTCAAGGGATAGACAAAGAGTACAGAATATTATACCTATTATATAAACAATGGGGGAGAAAAAAAAAAAGAACCTTTAGGTTGTGTATGTAATGGCATACTACATGAGTTAAATTAGATGTTTGCTATAAAGGGAATTACCCTTTAACCTTTGGTAACCACGAATCTAAAGCCTGCAAAGGCAATAAGTATGTACCTATCAATAATAACCCTACATGTAAATGGTCTGAATGAACCAATCAAAACACATAGAATCACCGAATGGATAAAAAACAAGACCAGTCTATATGCTGCCTACAACAGACACACTTCAAACCCAAAGACATACACAGACTAAAAGTGAAGGGATGGAAAAAGATACTTCATGCAACTAATAGGGAGAAAAAAGCAGGAGTTATAGTACTTGTATCAGGCAAAATAGACTTCAAAACAAAGAAAGTCACAAGAGACAAAGAAGAGCATTACATAATGATAAAGGGGTCAGTCCACCAAGAGGATATAACCATTATGAATATCTAACACAGGAGCACCTACATATGTGAAACAAATATTAACAGAATTGAAGGGGGAAATAGAATACAGTGCATTCATTTTAGGAGGCTTCAACACTCCACTCACTCCAAAGGACAGATCAACCAGACAGAAAATAAGTAAGGAGACAGAGGCACTGAACAACACACAAAAACAAATGGAACTAACAGACATCTACAAAACACTCAACCCAAAAGCTGCAGAAAACACATTATTCTCAACTGCACTTGGAACATTTTCAAGAATAGATCATATACTAAGCCACAAAAAGAGCCTCAGTAAATTCAAAAAGATTGAAATGGTATGAATCAGCTTCTCAGACCACAAAGGTATGAAACTAGAAATAAATTACACAAAGAAAATGAAAAAGCCCACAGACATATGGAGGTTTAAAAACATGCTCCTAAATAACCAATGGATCAATAACCCAAATAAAAAGAGATCAAGCAATATATGGAGAAAAATGACAACAATAATTCAACACTGCAGAATCTGTGGGCCATGCTAAGAGGGAAGTATACTGCAGTACAGGCCTACCTCAGGAAAAAAGAACAATCCCACATGAACAGTCTAAACTCACAATTAATGAAACTAGAAAAAGAAGAACAAATGAGGCCCAAAGTCAGTAGAAGGAAGGATATAATAAAAATCAGAGGAGAAATAAATAAAATCGAGAAGAATAAAACAATAGAATCAATGAAAGCAGGAGCTGGTTCTTCAAGAAAATAAACAAAATAGATAAACCCCTAGCCAGACTTATCAAGAAAAAAAGAGAGTCTACATACACAAACAGAATCAGAAATGAGAAAGGAAAAATCACTACGGACATCAAAGAAATACAAAGACTTATGAGAGAATACTATGAAAAATTACATGGTAACAAACCAGATAACCTAGAAGAAATGGACAACTTTCTAGAAAAATACAACCTTCCAAGGCTGACCAAGGAAGAAACAGAAAATCTGAACAGACCAATTACCAGCAATGAAATTTGAACTGGTAGTAAAAAAACTATCTAAGAAAAAACTCCTGGACCATGGTTTCACTGATAAATTTTATCAAACATTAAGTGAAGACCCAATACCCATCCTCCTAAAAGTTTTCCAAAAAGTAGAAGACAAGGGAATACTCCTAAACTCATTCTGTGAGTCCAGCATCACTCTAATACCAAATCCAGGCAAAGACACCACAAAAAAAGAAAATTACAGACCAATATCCCTGATGAACATAGATGCAAAAATACTCAATAAAATATTAGCAAACCGAATTCAAAAATACTTCAAAAAGATCATCCATCATGATCAAGCAGGATTTCTTCCAGGGATGCAAGGATGGTACAAATTCGAAAATCCATCAACATCATCCACCACATCAACAAAAAGAAGGACAAAAACCACATGATCATCTCCATGGATGCCATATGTGACAAACCCACAGCCAACATCATACTTAACACGAGAAGCTGAAAGCTTTACCTTTAAGATTGGGAACAAAACAAGGATGCCCACTCACCCCACTTTTATTCAACATAGTTTTGGAGGTCCTAGCCATGACAATCAGGAAACACAAAGAAATAAAAGGCATCCAGATTGGCAAGGAAGAAGTTAAACTGTCACTGTTTGCAGATGACATGATATTGTACATAAAAAAAACCCTAAAGAATCCACTCCAAAACTACTGGAACAATATCTGAATTCAGCAAAGATGCAGGATACAAAATTAATACACAGAAATCTGTTGCATTCCTATACACTAACAATGAACTAGCAGAAAGAGAAACCAGGAAAACAATTACATTCACAATTGCATCAAAAAGAATAAATACCTAGGAATAAACCTAACCAAGGAAGTGAAAGACCTATATCCTGAAAACTACAAGACACTCCTGAGAGAAATTAAAGAAGATACCAATAGATGGAAATACATTCCATGCTCATAGATAGGAATAATTAATATTGTCAAAATGGCCATCCTGCCAAAAACAATCTACAGATTCAGTGCAATCCCTATCAAAATACCAACAGCATTCTTCAATGAACTAGAGAAAATAGTTCTAAAATTCATATGGAACCACAAAAGACCCCGAATAGCCAAAGCAATCTTGGGAAGGAAGAATAAAGCTGAGGAGATTACACTTCCTGACTTCAAGCTCTACTACAAAGCCATAGTAATCAAGACAATTTGGTACTGGCACAGGAACAGACCCACAAACCAATGGGACAGACTAGAGAGCCCAGATATAAACCCAAACATATATGGCCAATTAATATCCTATAAAGGAGCCATGGATATACAATGGGAAAATGACAGCCTCTTCAACTGGACAGTTACATGCAAGAGAATGAAACTGGATTACTGTCTAACCCCATACACAAAAGTAAACTCAAAATGGATCAAAGATATGAATGTAAGTCATGAAACCATAAAACTGTTAGAAGAAATCATAGTAAAAAGTCTCTTGAATATAAACATGAGCAACTTTTTCCTGAACGTATCCCCTTGGGCAAAGGAAAGAAAAGCAAAAATGAACAAATGGGACTACATCAAACTAAAAAGCAAGGGACACCATCAACAGAACAAAAAGGCATCCTACAGTATGGGATAATATATTCTTAAATGACTTATTTTATAAGGGTTAACATCCAAAATACATTAAGAACTCACACGCCTCAACACCCAAAAAACAAATAACCCAATTAAAAAGTGGTTGGAGAATATGAACAGACACTTCTCCAAAGAAGAAATTCAGATGGCCAACAGGCATATGAAAAGATGCTTCACATCACTAATTATCAGGAAAATTCAAATTAAAAACTCAATTGAGATATCACCTCTCACCAGTTAGGATGGCCAACGTAGAAAAAGCTAGGAACAACAAATGCTGGTGAGGTTGCAGAGAAAGGGGAACCCTCCTACAGTGCTGGTGGGAATGTAAACTAGTTCAACCATTGTGGAAAGCAATATGAAAGTTCCTCAAAAAACTAAAAATAGAAATAGCATTAGAGCTGGGAATTCCACTCCTGGGAATTTACCCAAAGAATACAACTTCTTAGATTCAAAAAGACATATGCACCCCTATGTTTATTGCAGCACTATTTACAATAGCCATACAAAGAAATGGAAGCAACCTAAGTGTCCATCAGTAGATGAATGGATAAAGAAGAGGTGGTACATACACACACACAATGGAATACTACTCAGCCATAAGAAAGAAACAAATTCTACCATTTGCACCAACATGGATGGAGCTAGAGGGTATTATGCTCAGTGAAATAAGCCAGGCAGAGAAAGACAAATACCAAATAATTTCCCTCATTTGTGGAGTATGACAACAAAGCAAAACTGAACGAACAAAATAGCAGCAAACTCACAGACTCCAAGAAGGGACTAGCTGTTATGTTACCAAAGGGGAGGGATGGGGGAGGACGGGTGGGGAAGGAAGGAGAAGAGGATTGAGGGGTATTATGATTAGTGCACATGGTGTGTGTGGGGTCACGGGGAAGATAGTGTAGCACAGAGAAGACAAGTAGGGACTCTGTGGCATCTTACTACACTGATGGACAGTGACTGCAATGACTTATGGGGGGGGGCTTGATAATAAGGGTGAATGTAATACCACATTGTTTTCCTTGTGAAACCTTCATAAGAGTGTATATCAATGATACCTTAATAAAAAAAATTAAATTAAAATGAACAGCCATACAAACAAAACAAAATAAAAAAGAGAACTAGAAACTATTGAGGAGTTAATTAATCTGGGAATTCTGGACTCCAGTAGACTGCTAAAAAAAAGGGGGGGTAGGCAGAGATTTTTATGGAGGGTTCTTGTTAGTTTTTTAGTATCATTAACTACAGGATCTTTTTCATAATGTTGGACTCCTAAAAGGAAATTCTTCCAGTGTCCAAAAAAGCCTATGTAATATAAAAACTATTTAATTGAACTAAGTCTTCTTACTGTGCACATTCCGGATGACATTTTTAATCTTCGTGTCCAACTCTTTTGCACTTTGGGCCATCTGATCAACACTGTTATGTAATGTTTGTGCTTTTCTGGCATTTACTTGAACCTATATGGAAAATAAGTTGATTAACAACAAATTAAGTTGATGGGGGAGAAAACCAACAATATTTTGAAAGGAAAAAAAAAGTTAATGTTATTGACCCAATACATTACCTTCTCTTGCAAAGTTTCAAATTCATGATTCAAATTACTCAGTTCTTTTTCCAGGCCATCCATTTTTGATCCATGATTTGAAATGGCAGAACGGTAGTTGAGCAACTGATTCTGAAAGTAAAATACACAGTTAATCTCACTTTGGAGTGGGAATTTGGAATAAGTTCTGTTAACTTGGTAAACCAGGTGATATGAAAAGGCTCATTGAGCAAGAACAATGCTGATACAGAGGGGAAAAAAGGTTCTTTAAAAAAAGCTATGTGAAGAATCTACTTTCTGATGTGAATTGTGACATGGCTCTAAAATAAAGCAGCAAAATTTAGAAACATGAAGAAACAAGATATACTTGACTTGAATTAATGACATCACCTTACAGAAATGAGGGTGATACCACTTACTTGATATATTCATTTCCAGATTCTACAATAAATTCAGCTATTTTTAGCCTTTATTTAAACTTGCAATGCTAAAAGCAGTGTCTATAGCTACTTTACTGAAGGAACTGTCAGATTTAAAGAATTTTAGAGAAGAAAGAGAATGCAGAGTTCATTTAACTGAATGCCCTCCCATTACAAATTAGAAAACAGAAGACCCAGGGAGTTGACTGACTTGTCTGCACCACGGATGTACAGCTGATCAGGGTTGGCTTCAGGACCCAAATCCAAGATCCTAGTCCTTTTTTGGGTCCTAAACTCCCTTATTATTTTTAGAGGTGACATAGCTGCACATAATATCTAGAGTAGTGATTATTTTTAACATTTTGGAGAAAATTCGCAAATACCTTGAAAAAAATTTATAGAAAAAAGCCACACCATTACTTCCATTTGTGTATGAGGGCCAGTGTTGGGTAAAAGAACACAGGCTTTACAGCTTTAGATCCAAACCTAGGTCAGCCACTTAGTAGACAAACCCCATGGAGCCTTATCTCCATCAGTAAACTGGAGGTTGTAATATTAAGCTGCTGCATTGGTTTTGATATAAGTGGGCTAATATTGTACAAAATGCCATGTACACACATGCATTCAAAAATGTCTATATCCTTCTCACACTTATTCCTACTGAATTTTCATAGTGTGTGTGTGTGTTCTAGCAAGAAGATGGTTCTATTTTAATTTTCCTATGGGAAAACTATTGCCCATCATTCGATAGAATGTGAGAAGACCTGGACAGGAACAGTGAGTAAAGCATGGTCTTTGAACTGGATCTTGGTTAGAATTCTGGAACCACCACGTACTAGCTACTTAGCTTATGATGCCTGTTAAATGAACATAACACTATTTTCCTCATAGGATGTTGTGAGGTTTCAGTAAAGCAATTAAGCACAGAGCCTGGCTCCTAGGAGCATACTGAAATGTTGGCTCCCTTCCCTTCATTGAGGAAGCACAGTAGTATTGATGACATCAAAGTAACTCCAGTGGCCTTTTCCTCTCAAAACATAAAGACCTTTCCCCCACCCACAGCTTCCCCTTTATATTAAGCCTGTAAATCATGGACTGAAATTACCTTGACGGGATAGAAAAGACATGTTTTTCTAGTTTTTGTTTTGTTTTTTTTTGCTATATGTACTCAAATATAACTACTAAGAATGAGCCCTCATTCCAAAACCACTTATTGAACGTTCCCTGAAGTCTCTTTCACTATGTCTGGTTTAGAGTTTATCTCCTCTGCTGGACTTTTGCCTTGGTGAAAATACCTTTTTTCATTTCCACAATTTTTAATTGGATCTTTTCATATCCACCTCTTCTTGTGTGGTTTCTGATTTTTTTTTTAAGTTTTCTAACTTCTCATTCCTTTTATTGGATGTTTTCTGCACAGTAATTTTCCCATTGTCCTATAATTTTCATTTTCCCTAAAGGGAACTTATCTCTTGAAGATCCTTCTGCTGATGTCTTTTGTATTGCTATTTGTCTATTTCAATGCTCTGCAGGTTTATTCTTATTCTGAGTGGGGGCTGCCCCTGCTCTCTCTGCACTGTCTGTGCCCGGTCCAATGATCTTAGGACACCCCACCCTCAGTCCAGGTCAGGCCTTATATTGGCAGCTTAGGAATTGCCTGCTATGGCGATGCTGAGGATCCCATTCCAGCAGACCCTGGTTTGTGGATCTTACACAGGTCCCAGCTGTAAGGGTGCAGCTTTCCCAGGTTTCATATCACCACTGCCCAACAGTGAGCCCTGGGTGATTTCCAGGCTGCTTTCTCAGCCTGCATTCATAGGCGGAGGAGTTCCCTGTTCCCCAGAGATCCTGACTCCAGCCCTTTGGGGCACTTTAGGCCCATTACTTCTCAGGATACTCTCTAGGCACCTACTTCCCAAGGGCACACAGAACATTCTCCCATAAAGCTCAACATGCTGAAAAGGACTAGAATCATATTAAACATGTTCTTTGACCACAACGGAATTTTTTAAATTAGAATTCAGTAACAGAAAGCTCTCTGGAAAACCCCCCATTTGGAAATTAACACACTTCTAAATAACTCAGGAGCCAAAGACATGTCACAGAAGAAATAAGAAAATCTTTTGAACTGAATTAAAATGAAAATACAACATTTAAAAATGTTTGGAATACAGCTAAATAGTACTTCTTGTAGCATTATATGCTTATATTAAAGCAAGACAGGTTTTATTTAGTAAAATAAGCTTTCATTTTAAGAAACTAGAAAATGAATAGTAAGTTAAACCAAAGCAAGTAGAAGGAAGAAAAAATATGGACAAAACCAGAAATGAATAAAATCAAAAAAAGAAAAACAATGGAGAAAAATCAATGAAATAAAAAGCTCAGTAACATCGATAACTTGCTAGCCAGAATAATCAAGAAAAAAGAGATAAGGCAAATTACCAGGAATGGATGAAATCAAGTTACTGCAGATTTTGCATATATTAAAAAGATAATAAGGGAAAATTATGAACAATTGCATGTCAATACATTTGGTAATTTAGATGAAATGGAAAAATTATCTGAAAGGTACAAATTACTAAATATCACTCAAAAAGAAACAGATAACCTGAATAGTCCCATATCTATTTTTTAAGGGTTGAATTTATGGTTTATTTTTTTAAAAACTTCCAGCAAAGAAAACCCTAAGCCTACATGGCTTCCCTGGAAAATTCCATCAAACATTTAAAAAAGAACTAATGCCAATTTTCTACACATCTGTTTTAGAGTCTTCTGAATGCAAGATATTGAGCTAAAGGCTTTACAGGAAAAACTAGTCCAGGAACATTCAGTAAATAAAGAATATTCACTGAGAAGTACTAGTTTTGTGTGTTCACTAGTACTTTCCACCTGTAAAAATCTAATCTTTACTTGAATCAGAGGGAAAAGGAAGGCCCTCTTAGCCTTAAATGGATCCAACGTCTCACCCTTTCCTGGTTCAGGGGCATTCATTCAGGCAGCACAGAGTCCCCGTGTAACTATCTGGGCACGGCTTTGTGCCGGACCCACAGGGTACTTACCCTCAGGTCCTTGGTCTGTGCCTCCAAGTGCTTCATCTGCTCCAGAGCACCCATGCTGCCACTCAGGCCCTGCAGCCGAGCCTTGACCACGCGGAGCTCCTCACCCATGGCGGTCAGGTCATTCAATAGCGTCATCACACAGCTATCACAATCTGCAGGGAATACAGACAGAGGCAAGTGTGCTGCAGGCTGGAACCAGAGGGATGCAAGGGCACTGGGGCTGTACAGCCTAGCGAGTGTGGACAGTGGTCTTAATGGCAAAACTCACAGTCTGCATGTGTGAGGGAGGGTCACAGATTCTGAAAAAGGGAGGTCTCCGGACAGGGAGAATTAAAGAGAAATTGTGGAGTGGGGGAAATGGGTTAAGGGGGTCAAAAGGTACAAGTGTCCAGTTATTAGAAAAATAAGTTCTGGGGATGTACAGCATGGTGACTATAGTTAATAACACTGTATTGATATTTCAAAGTCGCTGGTAGAGTAGATCTTTAAAGTTCTCATCACAAGAAAAAAAGTGGGTAACAATGTGAGATAATAGATATTAAACTTTGTGATAATAATTTCACAATGTGTATATATATTAAATCATTATGTTGCAGAACTTAGACTCATAAGATGTTGTTATGTCAATTATATCTCAATAAAATTGGTAAAATGGTGATCCTATGCATCTTATTTCTTATTTTGTATGTACAAAAAATAATAATACATAGCTTTTATTTATTCAGTGCTTGCTACATACATGGCATTGTAATAGGGATTTATAAGCATTTTCCCAAAAACCCTATGAGGTCGGTATAATTATTATGCCCATTTTACAAATGATGAAATAGGCTTGGAGAAGTAAGGTCATTTGGCCAAGGTCATAGAGCTATTAGTTGACAGAGGCTGGGTTTGACCCTAAGTAGTCCTCCTCCCACCACTGCTTTTTCAGACTGGAAACCGCATGTCCCAGCAAGGGGCTCACATATTTCAAATGAAATCCCACCATGTGGGAAGGAGAGGAGCTTTCATTTCTCACCATCACATTCTTCTCCAGGGCCGCCATCTTTGGGTTCTTGGTTTATGCAGTCTGAAATGAGGAATAGCAGAAGAAGGTACTGTTTTTAAATCGCCTCCTCATCTGCTTTTTAACCTGGCTCTCAGAACTGGGAAGACGTTAGCCACCCAAGCCCCAGCATGGCCAGCTCTCCCCCTTTCCCCCCCTCAGCCCTGCCATTCCTGGGAGCTGTAACCTCCCAGTGGGCCTGCCGCAGCAAGTCTTCTGGTGGCCTCTTGATTACCCATTCAGTCTCTTCTCTATAAAGGGTCATGACATTCTTATCAAATTAAAGCTCAAGATTTTCTTTATTTAACAAGCTCCTATGCAATGGCAGACATCTCTTCCAGGGTCATTCAAGAACATTCAACAAACATTCACTGAGCACCCCGAACATCCAGTGTGTGCTGTGGCCCTGTACTATGTGCAGGACATACAGATATATCAGGACAGAAGTTCCTTCTGTTCTTTGGTTTAATGGCCCTATAGGGTGGGGCAGGGAGACAAGCAATGAAACAGGGTAACAGACACCTGGAGAGGGACCTGCTTATGATGCTAGTAGACCAACACCACAAATGAGCACTCATATAAGCCCAAGTTTGAGGTTCTCAGCTATGGTCAGGAAAGCCTGCTGGTTGGCCTTGGACAGTCTTTATTCCTCACACTTTCACACTTACTCCATAACATGCATTCTTACACTGAAATGCCCTCTCCCTTCCCTCTGAAAAATAGTCTAACTTCATCACAAGAAAACTCTAAGCTTGAAATTCTCCTAGACATGCTACAAGGAGGCTTTCACATTTATTCTTCTCAGCAAAGGGCAATAGTCCACACTTTTATGTGTGTATATATATGTATGTGTGTGTGTGTGTGTGTGTGTATGTATATATATAATACATATATTTAAAATACACATAAAATGCACATCTTTTAAAATTATTTCTGTTACTTTTAAATATATTAATATATTAAACCACATTTACTTTCAGTTGTTAAGAATAAACATAGGTTCAGTATGGAAAATCTGGGAAAATCAGAATATAATAACATTTGGAAAAATATCACCCTTGATCTTGCCAAAGACAATGTCTACTTTCTATATATTTGTATATATTTGAATTTGTTATATAAAATCATAAGTTTTTCTTACTTATTTTTTAAAAATATTTTACTCATTCTTAAATGTACATATAATTGTGTCACTTATATTTCCTTAATTAGACTGTAAATGTTTTATGGCCAGGAAACAGGGTTTTATTTCCTTACAATCTCCTTTAGCACCTTGAATAGTCTGTGGTGGGGGGCCCAGCTTGTGCAGATGACTGATTTATCAGTGCAGTGTTCCCTATAAGCTTGAGTTTTGACCACCAAGGAATCTGTACATTAATTGAAAGAAAAAGAAAGAATGAAACACAGGAAAAAAACAAGTCTCATTAGTAGCATTTTCTTCCAATTTGAGAACAAACAGTTACCCTCCTTATTTCAGGTTGCTTATTTTTGTTACTAGAGGAGAAGAGGAGGGTTGAAAAGACGCTGTGTTGTGATGCTGAAGTGTCTGCTTGAATACATCCAGTGACAGCAGACTCATCTCCTTTTAAAACAGTCCTTTTCATCTTTAAATAGGTGACACTTCTTCCTTAGGATGGTTTAAAAGAGATCACCCTCTAGCGTCCCCTCCTTGGGTTCTAACCCTTATGCCACATAGAATGAGATCAACCCTTCTCCCGCACACCAGATACCCCTTTTTATTTCCAAAAATTTTTTCCAAATTTTCCATACTGAACCTATGTTTATTCTTAACAACTAAAAGTAAATGTGGTTTAATATATATTTTTTATAAACAGAAATAATTTTAAAAGATGTGTATTTTATATGTATATTTTTAAAATATGTATTATATATAGATATATATACACACACACACATACCCCCTCCCTTTCAAATACACCCTTTCCAAGAAGCCCCTTCATTGTCCTGGCTTGTCAGTCCTTCCTCACGTGACATGGTTCTAGGTCCCTTCACAGCCTCACCTCTTTCTGAACAAGCTGTAGCTTGTCTTTGGTCTTCTAAAGACATTAGCCCCATATAAGGGCTTACATGAGCAGCGTGGCAGACCACCTGGTTTTAAACTCTGCAAGTTGGTGAAGATAGTATGAGGTGTCCTAGAGGCCACATTCCTCTCCTGAGCCATACTGAGCTATTAAAACTTTATCTTTTTTATACCTCCTTCTTCTAAGCCACATCTCTCACATGCCATGTTTATTCCATTTAACTAGAGGATCACATGCTTCTAACATAATTTCTTCTGGTTGGAACCAGCCCATCATGGAGGCCCTTAAATATTCTAAATGTGTCCTAAGAGGCATTTGCTATCTCTCCTGTGTATTCTTTGATAAGTGGACAGGCATGCCTTCTATATTTCCAGCAACTCAACAATGTCCAGCAAGAGGGAGCTAATGATGAAACCCCAAGACTTAGAGATCTCATTCTAGACTGATCATAAAAATCCATTTATTCTACATTCTTTTAGGAATGGTCAGCTGACCAGATCTAATCCACACATCCAAGGTTTAGTTCTTCATCTTGTCCATAATTGTAAGATGAGAAACTTTATCCAAGTTTTTGGCATTACATGATATTAATGGCATTTTCCTGATAAATCACATTAATATTCTGTTGAAGAAATAAAAGAATAGTCTGCTCCTAATGAACCCATTCTTTGGTATGCAAAATCCATCCCAATTATACCACCCCCATCCCAGACAGTCTTGCTATTACAGAAAAAGTATGTTGACCTATTCAGATAGACACATGAAGAAAGGTGACATGATGATAACCACTTAACATCTGAGGGAGAGCTTAGCAACATCACCAAAGTAGGGTCTGGGGTTATTTTGGCTACAGTTGGGTTTGAAAAATAATTTACTTGAAAAAAAAAAATACTTGAAGTAAGTTATTCACCAAAGCTATACAAACTACCTAAGCATCCCAAGGTCGTCAAAACAAGGAGACCACTTGTAGCTGGAATTGTGTACTACACTTTCTGAAAATATTTGCTCGTGTTCTTCACCTGCTATTTTTATATCAGCTTGATAAATGCAGGCTAACAAAGGTATAAGTCCATCTTACCTCCAGTCAGGGGGTGACAACTGCCCAACTGGCCGTTGTTGTTACAATTGCATGGTTGACAGCTACCTCCGAACTTCTGGGGATTCCCAAAATATCCTGGTGCACACCTAACCAAAATACAGAGAAAGATGAGAGATACCCCCAAAATTAATCATTTATTCCACCACGTTTTCTCTGCCTTTAACTCTCTGATTGGGATGTTGTAGTGCTATGGGAGGAAGGCTGACGTAGATTTGCAAGAATGAACGTGTCACTTAGTGATGAGAATGCAGTTCTTTCTTTACAAGTTAGAAGATCCGTAGTTCCTTGATTCGGAGTTCCCATTTTTTAAAAATGAAAACAAACACGTTAATGTTTTTGGAATTGGGATGTAAATGAAAATCTTTCTGTCCATTAGCAAAGTTCTATTCCTATTCTATCCCCCACCCAAATTGTCATTAAATCGATGTGTGTGTGTGATGTCTTATCATCAATAGAATTGATAGAATCGAGGAAATAGGCTATTTGACTCTTCAAATTTAATCTTTGCATCAAAGAGCTGTTAGGTAATTTAAATATACTTTACCAACAGATACACAAATGATATAGCGTAAAGGATGCAGGTTTTAAATCAGGAGGATCTGGCTAGATCGCTGCCTCCAAAATATACTGTGAAATCTTGGGCTGTTATCATAAGCCTTCAAGCTTCAGTTTCTTTATCTTTTCCCTCCACGAAAATGTAAGCTCCATGAGGGGAAGAATTTTTGGCTGTTCAGCTTACTGATACATCCTCAGCACCTGGGATGCCAGATAAGCATATGCTGAATGAATAATCAGTACTAACAATATCTATTTTGGTCAATGGTTGTGAAATAAAAGATAATGTAGAGAATCTAGTACAATGCCTGCACATAATAGACACTCAATAAAAGGAAGCTACCATTTTAAGACATGAAATACTCATATATGCATGAATATTCATTATATGCATATATACACATAATTGGTATCATTTGAAATGATTACACTTCAGAACATGGATAGGAAGCAGAAAACCCACATATTGCATTATTATCAAGAAGGTAACTTAGCAGAAGCAGCTTATCTGCTAAGCAAGTTGGCAGTGTACTAATAATCAGGCTTTACTGTATGTGATCAGCCCTGCATTCTACCTAACATACCATGATAGGCAAAGATCAGTTTTAAATACCTTACTTTTAAATGTCTCACCTCTACCTAACTTTCTGCTTAAAAGATACATAATTACACATACCTTATATTAAAGTCACATAAATATTTAGGATGTTTCAGTCCACTTCATCTTTACCCTCACAAAGCATCAGTTACCCATTACAAGAAGTGACTGGTTCCCTTATCCTCATTTTGTGGTACTGGCTAAACACAATGGACTCAAGTTCCAGGACCAAAACTTCTGGATTTCATAGAGGACATCAGTACGACAAACAGGGCAGAGGACACATTTGTCACCTGTGGCTCTGTGGCCAAGATAGAAACACTCCGTAGCACGTGGTACGATCTGGGAAGTCGTTCCTAGGCCCCCACCCAGGTTGGCTGCCTCCTCCTCTGCCGCCCCACCTCCCGCATGGATTCCTGCTTTACACACTAAGCTGTCCTTGTATTTATCACTGCATTGTCAACCAGTCCTGCAGGAATGGTGCCTCGCATGGGTGCTCAATAAATGTTTAATAAATGAGAAAATTTTGACACTAAAATGGCATTTACCAGTGAAAAAGTCTTAAAAATTTTAAGAAACAAGTTTGTTCTCTTGAGACATCACATGTAACAAACAAGAGCTGAGAGAAGCACTCTTAATTAAGAATTTCCTATTTCAAATCAGCTAGCTCCCAAATCAGGGTCTCATCCAGCCTGTTGTTGTCTGCTTCATTTTTTTGTGAAGAACCATTAGAAGGATTAAATTAGGACATCTTTCCCAGGTGGGAGTCTGCATAGCTTTGAAATCACCAAGCCTGGATGACATTCCCAGCACCCAATACCCACCCAGTTGTCCTTCGTGTCTCAGGAGAGCAGGCCCATCCACCCTCACCCTTCAAGGCTGGCTGGGTGCTCCTTCTATCGCAGCCCGACTTAGCCCACTTATGTCCTCCCTCACTATTTCCACAGCTTGTTTGTATGTCTGTCCACCATGCGATTCTAGAATATATGTAGACAAATATTTAGCTGCAAGGATTAAATTTTGGTGCCACTATGAATGGTAAACAGTAAAACTATCTCAAAGACGAGCATAGGGGATTATGGAACTTCTTGGTCCTGATGTGATATGATCAATGAATACTTACAGATGTGAATATTACTAATGCACTATCAGATAAGAAAACAAGTCAAAATAGCAACTAAAGCAGAAATTGGCTTTTGTTTTTAAGAAGTGATCTGTGTCCACAGAAATGATCTGTGAGAATATACAACAAGCAGTGGTTTTCTGTAGGTAAAATGATTATTAATAGGACTGTGTGTAAGCATGCACAAGTACATAGGGTTAGATAGGGGTGTGGTAGGCCTCGTTGCTTCTTTGCTCACTTGTATTCCATCATTTTTATAATATGTATGTATTGATATTATGATGTTATTTTAAATTGAAAAATATATTGCCCATATGACTTACATGCTATACTGTCATTTCTTCAAGTATCTTTCCAGCTAGATTTTAAGTACCTCATGTTGCTTTGCTTATGAATACTGAAGCTTGGTTCTATGGCCCTTTATAATTCACCACATACCATTTTGCAACATTTATTTTTTTGACTCACAAACATTATTGAACACCTATGATGTGAACAGTACCATGTTAGACACTAGGGATTCAGAAATGAGTAAGATGCAGACTGTCCTGTTCATAATATTGTGTGGAGATAGAGGCGTATGTGTTGGAATATCTGAGGCTATGGATTTGTGTATCTAGAAGTATATAAAATTGTATATGCATGTACAGGTAAGTAGGGATGTGTACATGCTGGGAGAGAAGTGTGTGGGGATGAATTTACATGGAGGTAGGGGTACACAGGGCCATGAGGGTGGGGTAAGGGTCCCTAGGAATGTGGAGGAGGAGGGGCATATAGAAATATGTACAGGGAGGGGCCTGCAGGGGTATGTGTCAGGGGTATATGGGGCTATAAAATGCTCTGTCTCATTCTCAAATTTCTGAAACACGCACAAAACAAGAGAAGGAAGCTAAAAGCAGGCTTGTGTTTTTCCCACGAGACCTTCTTCCAGTTCAGGGAAACCAACAGCCTCAGCCCTGGCTCAGGTGACCCAGCAGGGCCTGCTGCGGCCTGCCCATGGGGCCAGCTGCCAGAGGGGTGGGGAGGGGAGCACCTACCTTTCACACTGTGTGCCCGTGTACCCAGGCTTGCAGGAGCACCTCACGTTCTCTTCAGTCACAACACAGCCTGTGGCAAAACTTGAAGAAAGACAGAAAAAAGCCCCAGTAAAAACATAAACCGATAGACTTTATGCTCATTGTTTTTTGCCAGAAAGAATTGACTCGCATTAAGTGAAAATAGAGACCAAGGGTCTGGCTACTATTTGCATGAAGAAAATTGTTGCCTGTGAAACTTGTAGATGATGAATTATTTCAGCTGTTATTGGGCAAATTTTGGCGAGTAAGGACTGAAGGCATTTACTGTGTTTTATTTTTGGCTTGGAGAAATACATTCCTTCCTTTAAGACAAAGTAACTCACTTTGGAAGAGACGATTACAACAGAATTTTTCCAGGAACAACAAGAAAGGAATAAAGCAAGTCCAGGCAGAAAAAAAGAACAGAGAACTCTGATTCTTTAAAAAAATTTTCTCCTTGTGTATTCTCATTCTTTTATATTGGGAACATTACCTGTTGGGAATTAAAGGTGATAGAGGGGCCGTTGAGCCCCACAGGGGACTATGGCACAGAGCATGCTTGCCCACGTAAGCATCTCAGCGGGCACAAGCATTGATGATTTTTACATTTTTCTAATCAAGTTGTGGAATTTTTGATTCTCTTAATCATTCTCAACTGGCACATACTTGAGAAATTTCTTCTTTTTTTTTAATTAAATGGAGAGATCATAAAAAAGCCCTGTTGCCTTGTAAAATGACTACATCTGTCCATTGGCCATGACCGTGATGTGAATCTCAGGGGAAATAACTGATTTATCATTTGCTGGTAAGAGAATTCTTCCTTGGGAAGCTTTCCTTGGCCTCTAAGATGGATAAAGTCACACCTCTAAAGGGACAGTTAGAATTGACAGCAATATTAATATAGCTGGAAAGAGAATTAGATAAAAGTAGGGTTACTGATAAATATGAGGAATTGTGCGTTACCTCAACCATGTGGAAGCTAGAAGCTAACCTTGATGATAACAATATGCTTTGCTACCAAAAACTGCAAGCTCCCCGTGGAAATTTTGCTACTTTGTATTCTCTAACATCTGCTCAAAGGAGTCTGGGCAAGAGTCAAGCAGGAAGTGCCTTTACAAATAGAGGCACAGGACTAGGCAGATTTAAGGAGTATTGAACATATAGATAGCAAAGCAGAGCGCACACTTTAAATATGCATATCCAGAAAAGCCACACTGGCCAGGTGACCTCTGGTAATTAAGACCTGGCCATTTCTCTGACAGTTGGTTGGTATCGGTGAACCTTGCAGTCTGCACTTGCTCCTGAACCTGTGCACTACTGATAGCTTCATCAGTTATCACCCTGACTTTCACATCAACTCTCATTTCCTTAGTTACGTTTTATATTTTGCTTGCAGTCACAGGGAACATGTCATGATGAGCAAGACTATGACAAGGTGCCAAGCCCAGATGGAACATGGATCACCGTGAAAAAAGTGTGGCTTTCTACCTACAATCTGCCGGCCATACTAGAGTCGGAATTCAGACGGCATCACTCTGTGGCTCACAATCGGTCCCATGGCTTCCATCACACTGACGGTAAAAATCCAAATGCCTAACGATAGCCTACACAGTCCCACAGGATCTGACCCTAGATGCCCAACCACCCTCATCTCCTGGCTGGCTCTCCCCCACTGCACTCCAACCGTCTTGCCTTCCTACTGTCTGTGAACACACCGTCACAGCCTTCTCTTTGGTTTTCTTCTCACCTCAGACCCTCACTGCTAACATATTGCCATCGTTTCTCCACCTCAGCATTCACTGGTCCCCACCCTGCAACTTCACAGTAAGCTCTCCTACCGCCCCCTCTAAAGGAGCTACTCACCACTGACCGCATAACCCAACTCTCTCTGAAATGATCCTTCCTACTTATTTGTGTGTGTTTTTACTGAGCATGACCACTGCCTCTGCCCACTTCTCCAGGTCGAGCCTCATGAGGTCAGAGTCTTGGCGGTGCTCTGCACCGCGGTTTCCCCAGCATCCGGGGAGACTAACTCTGAGCCCATAATGTGTGTTCAACGAATCATTATTTAGCCATTGAAGAAGAACAAAAGAAAGGAGGAAAAGTAAAAATAAAGAAGTGTTGTTTTTGACGGCTTTTGTTTGTTTTGCACTCTTGTTTGTTCTTTTTAAAAACACAACTGCTTTACTGAGATATATTTCACGTACTATACAATTCACCATCAGCACAATCCATTTTAGGACATTTTCGTTGCCCCAAGAAGAAATCCCATGCCCGTACCTCTCACTTCCCACTTCCAGCCCCCAAGTCCTGGGTGACCTCCAAACTACTTCCTGTCTCTACGGATTATCTTCAAGCGCCCAGAGTACCTGGCGGAATGAGGACATGGGCAGACTCTGCAGGATCCATGGATGGCGCTCCCATAGTGGCCCTCCTTGCAGCGCTCACAGTGCTCCCCAGCAGTGTTATGCTGGCAGTTCTTGAGACAAATGGACAGTATAATTAACAGCAGCTGATCACATTTATCATTATTAAGAACATTATCATCTAATTTACTCACACAATTACAACTCAAGTCCTCTAACTATGACCTGCATTGTTAGTTATCTGCTCACTAACTGGTATCATCTCCACTAACTATCTATTTTTCCTGTCTATCCAATCATTGCTGATGCAACAAAGAAGTTTCAAGCGTCCCACCAACTATTTGGTGCTTATCTTCAGGGGCCATGAGGAAATGGAGAGAGGCGAGCTGGACTCCGGCCCCACTCTAACACTTCGTAGCTGTGGAATCTTGGGCCAGATCCACACCTCTGTGAGTTTTACTGTTTTTTATAAATCAATTTTCCTGATGTATAATCTACATACAATTCTGATTTTCTTAAAATGTACAGTCAGAATAATCCCACTTTCCAAGGTTGCTGGGAGGATTTTGAAAAGTACAATGGGGCCTCAGTAAATATAAGCCCCTTCATGCTTCCCCTAAGAATAGTTTCTATGATAATTAACTTGATTTTACCTCATAATTCACCTAACAATGACATACTGAAGAGCAATAAAAATGAAGTAAGATTTTAACATGGATTTCATTAAAACAATAAAGGATTGCACCATATCCAAAGAAAGTAATTCCAATGTGTCAAAGAAGCAAGACATTAATGTCATCTGCTTTGTGTTTATGTAAATCCAATTATTTTCATGTCAAAGTCAATGTCTAGGGAAAACTGTTCTCCAGTAAAGTGTTGCAATAAAACAGCTTTGCAACTGAGCAGTCTATTGAGACAAAGCCGAATAGATTGTGTCAAATTTATTTTGTGAAAAGTCCAATCTAACCTTTTTTGGCTTTATTCTGGTAATAAAATCTAAATGCACAAAAACAGCCAGGAAAACTGTCTTACTGCAGGCATCTGGTAATCCAGAGATATTTCATGTTAGTTCTATGGCCTGGAATAAATATAATCTTAAAAATTTACATATATACTTTACCTCTGTATGCACAGATGGGCTTGAGTAGGAAACTTAAATGGATGTGAGTTTTAAAATAATATCTGAAGCCAGGATGGGAAAAACAACATGTATATATGTTGTAAGTGGGTGTAGCACTGGCCTGAAGGGGGAAGACTGTCCTCAGCTTGTTCATAAACATCACCAGTTTGCTTTAACAGATCCATCCTTACAAACCTGAATAACTGAGAATGACACAATCCACTAAGTTGTTAAATATCTTTTTGTGGTTTTTTTTCCCGACATAAAATCACACTATAAGCAAAAGGGTAATTAGTAAGCATCTTAGAAAAATAGGTAGGTCTTTAAAGCAGGATGCTGTTCACACTAACATATGATGATCATCAGAAAGCTCACTCCTGTTCTGAATGCCTCCATCCTTCCCAGAATGCCACTGTGTGGGCTTCTCCCGTAGGTCCAGACACTGGGAATGAATCCACACTGCAGTTTGTTGGGCCCACAGAGGGGTCTCTCGTGATGTCAGGGAGGGTGCTGAAGGCTTCTGGACCCCTAACTGCTGCCCTGGTTCTCTCAGAAAACATCATTATTTTGAACTAATTATTTACCTTTCCACTTGAGTTTCCTTTCTCTTTTAAGGCCAACAGACAATTTTTTAAAGAAGAACATGGTTGAACAGACACATCTGAGTCTTAGGTCTACTCAGTTCTGAGATGAAGAAGATGGAGAAACAAGAACTGCAGTGAGGCCACCTGCGCCACTCAGAACACTGCCCTCCGGTCCTCCGCAGGGGCGCAGAGAGAGGACCGCATGGGGTCGGAACCTGTGGTGCTTGATGAGGTCCCATAATTATGTCTGAAATATCCCTCACCTTGAGACCATCTACCCTGGAAGTTGTCTTTATCTGTCCTACAAATTTGAGGCATCTGCCTGTCAAGTGTCCTTGTGGTCCACTGTGGATGACTGGATGAGTGCACACCCACTCCCACAGAATCTGCTCTCTGAGATCCATTTCATACTGACCATCCACTGGGCACTTACTACATGGCCAGCCATGTTAGGTACTAGGGATGCAAGGATGAAGGTACCTCAACTCCGGGGTAGAGAGAACCCTGCGAATAGACATACACAACAGAATGTGGAAAATATGGCACAGGAAACAGGTGGGCCAGCATCCCGCAAGAGCAAGAGGGACCTCAGGGAAGGGCTTCAGGAGGCAACGGTGCCTCCCACATGGAGGACAGAGCAGGAGGAATTAGCTGGGTGGAGGTGAGGAAAGAATATGTCAGGCCCAAGGAACAGTGCCCCAAACCTCAGTCTTGCAGGGGCATAGCAGTGTGTGTAGGCAACATGAAGCCATCGGTGTTCCGGAGGGGGAGGCACGAGGCGGATGGGATGCAGCTGGAGAGGCAGCAGGCAGGTCGAGGGAGCCCTGAGGCCATGCAGAGGAGTGTGGACTTCTGGTCGTGAGCCTCAAACCCCCAGTCAGCTGGGAGTTTCATATAAATCAGTCTGGGGCCAGGGGGGAAGGTGGGCTTCAGGGAATAAGGTAAAGGAAAAACAAGGGAGGAGGATAAGAAAAGAGAAGGGTAGGGACCAGGGGATGAAGAGGAAGATGAGGGGTGACAGTAGAAGGCATGGGAGTGGGGAGAGAAGGAAATGTGGGGAGAAAGTGGGCAAGGAGAAGAGGGAGCAGCAGGGCCTCGCAGACAGAGGGGCACCTGCCACAACAGGTCCCTGTGCCAATGGCCCCCAAAGAACATCTGCCCTCCCAGCTGGACACACGCTGCTTCACTGGCCAGGACTCCGGCTACTCTCTTTTCAAATTTCAAAGTTTGTTCTTGAAATGATGTGGAGGTTTGTGCATGTGAAGGTCCCAGACTGGAGAATTTGACTTTGGACCTTGAGAGGTGGGGGCCAGTTTGTGTAGGAATCAGGCCATTTGACAGTGAAAAGTACTTGGTTTTCTTATTACTCTTCTTTGAAAGAGAGGACTGCCTGCCAGCCACGTGGGAGAGAAGCGTCAGCTCTCAGTAGAGAACCCTGCGAATAGACATACACAACAGAATGTGGAAAATATGGCACAGGAAACAGGTGGGCCAGCATCCCGCAAGAGCAAGAGGGACCTCAGGGAAGGGCTTCAGGAGGCAACGGTGCCTCCCACATGGAGGACAGAGCAGGAGGAATTAGCTGGGTGGAGGTGAGGAAAGAATATGTCAGGCCCAAGGAACAGTGCCCCAAACCTCAGTCTTGCAGGGGCATAGCAGTGTGTGTAGGCAACATGAAGCCATCGGTGTTCCGGAGGGGGAGGCACGAGGCGGATGGGATGCAGCTGGAGAGGCAGCAGGCAGGTCGAGGGAGCCCTGAGGCCATGCAGAGGAGTGTGGACTTCTGGTCGTGAGCCTCAAACCCCCAGTCAGCTGGGAGTTTCAGATAAATCAGTCTGGGGCCAGGGGGGAAGGTGGGCTTCAGGGAATAAGGTAAAGGAAAAACAAGGGAGGAGGATAAGAAAAGAGAAGGGTAGGGACCAGGGGATGAAGAGGAAGATGAGGGGTGACAGTAGAAGGCATGGGAGTGGGGAGAGAAGGAAATGTGGGGAGAAAGTGGGCAAGGAGAAGAGGGAGCAGCAGGGCCTCGCAGACAGAGGGGCACCTGCCACAACAGGTCCCTGTGCCAATGGCCCCCAAAGAACATCTGCCCTCCCAGCTGGACACACGCTGCTTCACTGGCCAGGACTCCGGCTACTCTCTTTTCAAATTTCAAAGTTTGTTCTTGAAATGATGTGGAGGTTTGTGCATGTGAAGGTCCCAGACTGGAGAATTTGACTTTGGACCTTGAGAGGTGGGGGCCAGTTTGTGTAGGAATCAGGCCATTTGACAGTGAAAAGTACTTGGTTTTCTTATTACTCTTCTTTGAAAGAGAGGACTGCCTGCCAGCCACGTGGGAGAGAAGCGTCAGCTCTCAGTGCCTGCCACTGGGTAGTTATGTGAGAGCAGGCAGGGCTCTGTGCCTGCGTGTGTGGGTGTACACGCATGTGTGCCTGTGTATATTTGCCTATGAGAATGCGTGTATGTGTGTGTGCCTGTGTACACATGTGTGCGTGTGTCTGTGTGTGTGTACATGCACATTCCCCACTAGACAGCAAGCCTCATGAGAATGGGGATTATGTCTGATGGTTTTAACCCCAGCACATAGTTTGGTCCCTCCCACAACAGCAAATGTTCAGTAAAGGTTTCCTAAATGAATCATTTCTAGAGGTCACATGGCCACTAGGGACAAGTGAAGACAGAGCTCTAAAGGAAGGAATTGTGAAAGAAAATGTTCTTGTTAATTTAAACATATAAATTATGACACTAATCTTTTCACTGGTGCATGGACTGCAGAGAAAACCCACTTTGTTCTTTGGCAGCTTTTATAAAGCAGACTTGACATCTAGCAATGGCTCAGTGATAAGATTTTTCATTAAAGCATCTACCTGTGTTACACACAAAATACACTATGAAGCACAAGTCATTACACAAGAATATCTGTGGGCTGAGAAACAGTATTTCCCAATGTCTTTTATCATTTTGTGCTTATACAGTTAAAAACCTACTGAATATTCTTTTGGGCTCTTTACAACTTTCTGTCCTGGCCTGTCCCATCTTGCAGAGGAAACAGTTCCTTGGGACATGCTGAACTGGCTTCATACAGCCTAGGAACCCAAATAGTTGAAACACACATTAGCCGCATTACACAAGGCAAAGGAAATCCATGCCAGCAGGATGTATTTCCAAATAGTAGAACATAAGTAGGTGCGCTGGACTCCTGGGGGTACTGACATGTCTCCTTTGCACAGAGCTGTCCATTCTTCCAACAGGAAGGCCCGGGCTGCCAGGGAGGAGGACAGCAGAATAAAAATTGTTCTGCTTCAGGAGGCAAAAGAAAAATTTCCTGAGAATCTCATTTTCTATGGGAGAATTTTCTAAAATAGTCCAAAAAAAGATTGTTTTCTAACAGATAAGCCACAGGCAGCAAGAACTCACCTCACCTGTCTGCCTAGATAAACCCACAGCTGTGAAGGATTTCTGTTGGACTGACCGGGGATGCGCCTGAAGACTTGCTCAGCATCTCCTTCTCCCTGATCATCTCTTGAGCTACTGTTACAAAGTTCCACTCCCACAACCTCCAGCCACCCCAACACTGGGACCCCCAGAAGTGGCTCTGATCTGTTCTTTGCGAGCAAGAGTTACATCTCAGGATCTACCCATTAATACCATTTGATGAAGCAGAGATTTAGAAGCTAATGTGTATGTTAATTGTTGAAGGAGAAAGTGAAGAATTCAGCCTTATAATGCAGGAGCCTCCTGCATGTACACAGCAACCTCTATTTATGGCTTGGTAGGAGATGTGACATTTCATGTCTCAGAGCCTAGAGGGGAGGGAACAGGGAGACACTGATTGCCTGCTGCTGGCATCAGAGTACCAATTCACTCACAATGCATGCTCCCGAGCCATCCTGGCATCGATTTGAATGTCCGTTGCAATTGCAGGGAACGCACCATCCAGTATATGAGCCTTTATTATCCCGATAGTATCCAGGGCTGCAACCCTAGTTTTCAAACGAAGTATTTAGTCAACCCAGAGAAAGAATTATTATCCAAAGCATGTGACAATTCTGACTGTCAAGCGCTTGCTCTTTCGTCACCTTTCCTGTAGTCAGTGTGTGGATTTCCACTTTCCAACACTAGCCAGGCCCACTGTTTTTTCCTGTCTGGTTCTGTTTTGCTTCCAGCCTGTGATAGGCACATGTGTTTGTCCCTGAGCAGGAGGGGTGTGTGTGTATGTGTGTGTGTGTGTGTGTGTGTGTGTGTACATCAGGGAAAAGGAGAGTGTGGAGGCAGAGTTTGGAGGGTGTGGAGGGGGCTTCTTCTCCTTCTCATGCCAACTGTTGGAGGGTGAGTGGAGGGGTCGCAGGGGGAAGAATAAGGAGGCCCTGGACCTCAGTCCTTATAGGGAGGAGTGCTCAGCAGCCCCCTGCAAGTTCAAGCCCCTTTGGGTAGGTACTCCCTGCCCAAACATGGGTTTGGACTGGAGGGGCAGGCAGGACGGGAGGCAGGGGCTAAGCAGTCTTCACTGGGATATACACAATGACAGCAGAGTCACGGAAATCGTGTCACTGCCGCTCATGGTCTATGGGCAAGACGGAAGCCCAGGGAATGGAGTGGCTGTGCTCCCACAGAGCTTTGCAGGGATGGCCGGAGGCTGGTTCTGGGGGAACACAAAGCCCCAGCTTGAGGGACTCTCCTCAGGTGTGGTCTTTGTCTCTTACTCACTATTGCTTGGATTACTTCTATTTCCAGTATATTGTCATGTAACTTGTGTAATACAAGTTATTATTTTTCATATGGATGAAAAGAATTACCATTTTCTTTTGATAAACTGGTATATTTTTAAAAGGATTCTAGTTTAGAATTCCCCTGTAGAAAATAAAAACAATTGTTGTTATGCCAGCCAATCAACATTATTTAGATTTCTGTCTTTAAAAAGAATTAGAGACACTTTCTTGATTTTGGCAGAGTGAATCAGTGCATTGATTAAAACTAGAGGCTGTTTCCTTCACTGATCTCCTATCTTAAAAGATCAGGAAACATTAATATTTCAAGATAGGAGACCACCTTTAATCATTTTTAAAGAGAACCCCTGTCTGTAAGACACCAGAGCTTTAGTCCAGGGAAATCCTGAAATGGCCCAGCCATCTTCATTCATCCATGGCCTCCACTGTCTCTACCTGGTGGCGAGGGGGAGGGGAGGAACTAGGCTGACGGGCTGGAGAAGGAACCTCATGCACTCCCAGCAGTTTCTGGTCGGGGCTTTTCCCCAAACTAGCAATGACCACAAATCATACACAATAACAAGACTATAATTTCCAATATATTTTCTCCTTTAGCTCTGAGAAACCATGTTAAGCAAAAGAACCCACTGCGAAAAATTAGATTACGTGTTATATGAATAGGCTTGTCTAAAGGAGAATCCAAGTATGACAGGAATGTGCTTTAGCTGAAAGCCTGACTTAGTGATAGGCTTGAACGGGATTCAGCCAGTGATGCCGTGATCCTATCTACAGTCTCTACTAATAAGTGGCAAGTACCTCTTAATTATCATCACATATCACACTACATGCTTATAAAATAATTATAATTGACAAAGAACAAATTAACCAAATAGATAGATACATCTGGTTTGCTTATGAGAGCATGCTCAAGTAAAGCCTTCATTGAACATGATTTCGGGGGAGGGTAGTCTATCCTCATTAAAATTAGATCACCCATCTGAATTTGCTTTTGATTAGATATAGAAAAAGTGCTCTGCAAGAATTATGTATCACGTGACTCTCAGAAAGTTTGTCAGTTACTGAAATATAATCATTTTCTCACTTATATAAAAAACAAACACATTTTATACATATATCAGTTCAAGTATTCAGATTATATTGAAGACTTACTCTAAGTGAAAATGAACATATCCTAATATATTACTTCAGTAAAGGACCTTCGCAACTAATCACTTTTTTAAGTGATCATTTTTCAGGATAACCTTTCCAACAAACTTTTGTGGTACAAATGATAAAATTGTTCCCCCAGCAGGTTTCTGGGGCTATTTCAGCAGTCATAGGATCTATTTCTCTTTATACATGTAAAAATCCAGGAAGTTTAAAGAGAGAGAGAGTAGAATTTATGAGTGTTTAATGCCTGGCAAATTGAAGCACATCTGTTATTATACAAACTTGATCTCATCACTTTTTTTAAACCCAATTTCACTGATTCCCAGGATTTGCTTTATAGGTAACTTTTCTATCAAGCAGAATTTGGAAAGCCTATAGGCATTGAACTCTTGTCCTAAGATTTGGGTTACTCTTGAAAGGGCACAAAGTTTCATAATATATTAACATCCCACAAGCATTCAAACTCTCAGCTGTCCTGGCATTTCCAGGGGGGCTGATGTTTATGGGGTTTGTGGTTACTGCTCAGAGGAGCAATCTGTTGGGAACCAAAATAAACACTGCCACTCAATGGGGCAGAAAGGTCACCGGACCCTCCCCTAGCCCACCCATTACTCATTCATTATCCTAAATTAAAATGTCACAAAGCTGGAAACCCATTCCCATCCCAAACCAAAATTTAAAAGGGATGTTACCTGGCTGGGTTTAAACTCCACATAACTTGCTTGCAGATGGCTTTGACCAGGAGGCTGAGGAAACACTACTCTTTGCTGCTGGGAACTATAGCCCAGACACTGCCCCAGGGCTGCCCCAAAGATCCATAGCCATCCCGCGCTCGGGCCTGACCACCTCACTGCCCGGGCCATTGTGGTCCCGGGCGTCCTGCTGGCTGCACACAAAGCTCTCTGCCTCTTCCTCTTATACTTGCCCTTCCTGCTCCAGCGCCCAGGCCTGCCTGATGCAGGGAGAGCGGGCTGTCTGCGGCAGGGGGCCCCACCTGTAAACTTCACCCATGAGTCAGCCTGTGAGAAAGCACACCTAACAGTCTCACTGGGAAGCTCAGCGCTCGGTAATTCCTGCCAGGTGCGGCACGCATCACCTCTTACCCACCTCACCCCGCCAGACACTGGCCGATTAGAGCAGCTGTAAAGCACAGGCTGAGTCACGCACAGAGAACACGCCCTAGGCAGGAGGATGGGAATCTAGAGGTTCCACTCTGTCCCCTGGGCTATGCATTTTATTTCATTGGGCTAGAAAAGAGAGAGAAGGAAGGGGGAAGAAGAATGTAGGCACCTGTGGACCAAATGTTACAAGTGAGAAGTCCCCAGAAAACCACAGCAGGTAATGTATTTGCAGGTTAAAAAAAAACTTTATCTTTTTTTTTGGGGGGGGGGTTCTGCTACCAAGAGGTCAGGAGAGAAAGTGAAGGCTGTTGCTAAATCCACATATATATGGATAGATATGGAAATGGATATGGATATGGATATGGATATGGATATGGATTTAGTGGGCAGGGAGGTTCAGGATAAGAGAAGGGCACAAGACCCTGGGTCAGCCCCGGGGAAAGCGCAGCTTAATTTTGAAATGCCCATGGTGGGCTCCTTCTGCCTTCCCTCCCACAAAGTCCCCACTACTACAACCCCCAGCATCTACTGAGCCCTTGTGTTTTCCTATGGATTTTGAGACACGTGTGATTTCTTTCTCATATTTAATAGCTGAAGGTGGTCCAGGTAAGATAGAAGCAACAGCACAGCCACACCTGACAGACAGAGTGCTGCACAGCAGCCAGGAGAACCAGCCCCGTGAGTCCCCTGGGGGAACTTTAAGGTCTAGGAGAATTCCTACCTGACATGAGTCACCAGTGTAGTCAGGGGGGCAGGCACACATCTCGACGTTCTGTGCTCTCCGTCCACTTCCGGCGTCCGAGGCGTCCTCCAGCCCCACCCCGCTCAAGGTGAGCCGCTGGGTCTCGGTGAAGTAGAGGCCTCGGAGGCGCACGCCTTCCAGTCTAGACAGCACCATCATCAGCTCTTCCCGGGACACGGGGGCACCGCTGCTGGCATGTCTGAAGTTTCCCTACACGTGAAAACAGAGGCGAGGTCTCCCTCTGGCAAGTGCACTTCCCGGGGTTTTAAAGAGGCAGAAAACCCATAATGAGTCAAAGAAAAGACATTTAAAATGCATAAAGGAAGATAAATAAGATAGGTAGGTATGAGATAGATTTATGTTCAAAACTCAGATATCCTGGGTTGCTCCCAAGAGAAAGTGCCATGTGAAATGGGGGTAAAATGAAATCAGGAAACAAGGAACAATAAAATGAAATCAGATTTCCCAGTGTTATGTTTATTTAAAAATGGACTTTTGTTTGTGCAGGCACAGAGTGAGTACAGAAGATACAGGGAAACCAACAGAGTTTCCATTCCATAACATTCATGTTCTATTTTTTGTTACTCTGGTAAAACACGCATAATATAAAATTTGCCGTCTTAACCATTTTTAAGGATAAAGTATAATAGTGGTAACTATATTCACTATGTTGTGCAACAGATCTCTAGAACTTTATCATCTATAAAACTGAAATTGTACCTGTTAATCAATAACTCCCATCTGCCCCTTCCTCCAGCTCCTAGCAACCACCATTCTGCTTTCTGTTTCTATGAATCTACTTGAAATACCTCATGTAAGTGGAATCATGCAGTATTTGTCTTTTTGTGACTGGCTTATTGCACTTAGCATAATGACTCACATTTCGTTCATGTTCTAGCATGCAACAGGGTTCCCCCTCTTTTAAGACTGAATAATGTATATGCCATATTTTCTTCATTCACTCATAGGTCCACAGACATTCCAGTTGCTTCCATCCCCTGTTTACTGTGACTAGTGCAGCAATGAACATGGGTGTGCAAATATCCCTTCAAAATTCTATTTTCAATTCTTTTGGATATATACTTCAAAGTGGCATTGCTGGATCATACGGTCATCCTATTTTTAATTTTTTGAGGAACCTCAATACTATTTTCCACACTGGCTGCACTGTTTTATAATCTCACCAATAGCGCACATGGGTTTCAATTTCTGCACATCCCTCCCAACACCTATATTTTCTATTTTTTTTCACTAGTAGCCATCCCAAAGAGTATGAGGTGGTATCTCATTATGGTTCAGATTTGCATTATCTAATGTTTGATGACGCTAAGCATCTTTTTATGTAAAAGCCTTCATTTTTAAGCTTTATATTCTGTTGTGTCCTTTAAATTCAGTTACCAGATTTCTTAAATAGGCATAGGAATGCCTAATCTTTCAAGACTATCAGGAGGATTAAAGGAAATTAAATGATATAATATATGTAAAGTGTTAGGCAGAGTGCCTGGCATGTAGTAGACATTCAACAAATGTAACTATAATTATTAACATACAAATATAATACCTATGTAATTTTAATTTATGATTTTAACATCTTAAAGTATTTACATGCAATAACAGTTCATTTTGGGTGTACAATTTAGTGCAATTTTAGAACATTTTCATCCCCCACAAAAAAGAACCCCTTGTACATTTGTAGTTACTACCCATTCCTGCCCCAAGCCCTGGGCAACCACTACTCTACATTCTGCCTCTATGGATTTGCCCATGTGGGACAATTTATATAAATACCAACTTCATTTATAATATATAAAAACTTTGCTTCTATTTGCTTCATTTCCTCCGTGCTCCATTGTGCATAGATAATACATTTTTATACATTGTATGTCCATCAACACAGATTTTAATTATTACTTTATGCAATTGTCTTTTAAATCAGATAGGAGAGAAAAAGATTTACAAACAAGATATATTTGCAGGGCCTTTTATATTTACCTATGTAGTTACCTTAACCAGTGCTCTTCATTTCTGAAGAGGATTTGAGTTTTTGTCCTTAAGTCCTTTCATTTCAGCCTAAATGTTCCCTTTAGTGTTTCTTGTAGGGAAGGCAATGAATTCTCTGTTTTGTTTATAATGACTTGTCTCCATTTCTCCTTCATTTTTGAAGGATATTTTGCTGGATATGAAATTCTTTGTTGACTGTGTTTTTGCCAGCACTTTGCATAGGCCATCCCACTCGCTCTGACTTCCATGGTTTCTGGTGAACAGTCAACTGTTGATCTTACTGAGGACCCTTTGTATGTGATCAAATGCTTCTCTTGTGCTGCTTTCAAGATTCCTTATCTTTGCCTCTCAAAATCTTTACTATGATGTTTCTGTGCCTGGGTCTCTTGCATTTACCTTATTTGGAGTTTGTTAAGCTTGGCTGTGTAAATTAATGATTTTCATCAGATTTGTGAAGTATTCAGCCATTATTTCTTGAACCATTTTTTCTTCCCCTCTTCTCTCACCTCTCCTTCTGGTAGTTCAATTATGTACATCTTGATACACCTGATTGTGTCTCACAGGTCTTTGAGAGTCTGTTTGTTTTTCCTCATTCTTTTTTATTTCTGTTCCAGAAACAGGATAATTTCAATTGAACTTCAAATGTGCTGATTCTTTCTTCTGCCTGCTCTTTTGTTGAACCCTTGTCTTAGCTTGCGCAGGCTGCTATAATAAAACACCCTAGACTGGGTGGCTTAAACAACTGAAATTTATTTCCTCACAGTTCTGGGGGCTGGACGTTCCAGATGAGAATGCTGGCCAATTTGGCTCCCAGAGAGAATGCTCCTCCTGGCTTACAGATGGTTGCTTTCCCACTGGGCCATCATATGGCAGACAGAGAGAGTGAGCTTTCTGGTTTCTCCTCTTATAAGGACACTAATCTCATCAGATACTGGCTCTGCTCTTATGATTTCCTTTAACCTTAATTACTTCCTTACTTCAGGTACAACTTCACCTGGGGTGGAGCGGAGGTGTCAGGGTTTCACCATATGAATTTTGAGGGGACACAATTCACTCTGTAGTAGCCCTTCTAGTGAAGTCTTCCTTTCAGCTGTTGTACTTTGCAACTCCAGAATTTCTATTTTGTTCTTTCTTATACTTTCTATTTCTTTATTGCTATTTTCTATTCGGTGAGATATTGTTCTCATATTTTCCTTTGGTTCCTCTAGACATGGTGTCCTTTAGTTCTCTGACATATTTAAAATGCTGATTTAAAGTCTTTGTCTCTTAAGCCCAATGTCTGGGCTTCCTCAGGGCCAGTTTCTATTTATTGCTTTTTCTCCTTGTGTATAGACTACACTCTGTTCTATCTTTTCATACCTCATAATTTTTTGTTGAAAACTGGATATTTAAAATAATATAATGTGGCAACTCAGGAAATCATATTCTTCCCACTCTCTAGGATCTGTTGCTGTTTCTATTTATTGTTGTGTCTTTCTTTAGCTGCTTTTATGAACTAATTCTGTAAAGTCTGTATTCTTTGTCAGGTGTGACCACTAAAGTCTCTGTTTGGTTGGTTGAGTAGTCACCTAATCACTGGGCAGAGATTTCCTTAAATGCCTGGGCCAAGAAGTCTCCTAGTCTTTGCAAAAGGCAACTATCTGCATGTTGGGGGACTCCTCACCTCTCAGCCAGGCAGCTGACAACTGTCCTTCAGCCCCCACTTTCAGCTTGCACAGAGCCTCAGAGCCTCAAGGACAACCAGAGGTGACGGCTTAGGACCATCTCAGGTCTTCCTGAACATGCTCACATCCCTGTGTGTGTGTGGCCTTCTACATTCCAAGGATTGTAGTGGAGCTTTTCAAGTCCCTGTGAACAACTCATCCCCCAGCTTTTTTAAGTTTTGAGATTAGCCTATTGTGTGCCCCAACTATTATCCACCACCTCAGGTGGCCATGAAGTTAAACAGTTGCCTCTAAATGTTTCCAACAACAGCCCCAGAGAAAAGGCTTTTCATGTTGGAAGAACTCCAAGTCAAGTCAAAAAAACACAGCCTTGCAAGTAGCATCTTCCAGAAAACATTCAGGCAAGTCAAGTCATGACAGTTCTCTGGCAATGAGGCTTTGAAGGAGCTGCAATGCCACTCTACTGGTGGCTGCCAGGCTACTGGCATTCCCCTTGACGGTGGGCTATTGCTTTTCAAGGCTAATGTGGAACTGAAGAGGCGTGGGGGTAGGAATAAAAGCTTAATGT